TTTCACAGTATGTGTCAGATAAACAGCATGCCATGTAAACATACCTGAAGCATGCTGTGAAATCGAACTCGTATTAATAGCTTTCTTTAAAAAAATCACATCTTTGAGACGTCTCACAAATATACTATAAAATGAATTGTATATTTTGGGGGTGAAAAATTGCAGTGCACAAATCCTCTGTACTAACTCCCCAAAGTGTCTACAATAACAACACCATCACCTTGCATTTAAATAACACACTTCATACAGGAAGCGCTGCACAGTAGCAGGGTTGGATGCTGAGCAAGAGAGAAGGGGGAGGGCTAAGATAACTATTTGGTTGAGGTTCATGACACCCGACTCTTCTGCTACTTCCTTTGTATTCATCGTCGTCCAAACGTTCAGCCACCACACTCCTCTCTTCCAACCTCCCCACAAACCCCAGCCCCGCATTAACCTTCCAAAAATTAATTTCTTCAATCACTTCTAGATTCCTCTCACTTCTTGATCAGATTCCCACGCTCCTTTAGACGAAAAGTGCTATAATAAATACAGGTTGATACTGATAGGACCACTTGAATTCATTCTGCACAGTAACTGTCAAAAACACAGCAGGCCTCTATCACAGCTGATGCTCTTCATCTAATTACTTACTTAGAAATCCTACTGGGTCACCTTTAAATCAATACCACGTGTATCATACGTTTACTTTCCCTCAATAAAGAAGCCTGGTGCTATGACAATATAGCCATCAATCACACACGGGGGGGAATGAAGAGGGGGAGCACTGGGTAAAAAAAAGCAACAATAGACTGAAGCTTTGTAGGAAGAGAGCCAACCAGCATAAAAACACTGATGCTAGCCTTAAAATTTCCTGGGGGGTGTCGTCTGCCTAACAGTTGGATTAAATCCTCTTTAAATTAAGAACAAAAGTGCTGTGCGCCCATCTGTGGACCAACAGTCTCCATCCATCATTAATATACAGTACTTATAACTGTGCTTATGAGCAGCACTGTACAAACAAATACCAGCCAACAACCTAGGTAACATCCTGCTCGCAGACCACTGGCAATGCCGCTTTACATCAGCAGGTGATTCCCCCTATGGCAATGACCCACTGAGGTTTCCCTGCCCATAATCGCTCTCTCTCTCTGCCATGAAGATACCTTATTGTCATGCAACAGCAGAGATTGGCGACTGATCCAAATGTGTGAAGAGGAGAGAAACAAGGTCCAACCTGTCTGCTTCCAGTGCATAATGCAATACCACATTATGCCTTTGCACACACAGATTACAAAATAAAAATGCCATCATTAATTTACTAGAGGCTTTCAGATGGAGTGAGTCAAAGAGCTTTACAGATAAGTTACAGCAGCAATCTGCAAGCCACAGTCACCCAGGCTCCCAATAAAATAGGATGAAGAAAGCAAATGATCCAGAAGTTGCATTCCAAATGACTCAGACGGCCCAAACTAGTTACTGTCTCTCCCACCAATATCAGTGAATGCTTCAACAACAACAAATTACATTTGTATAGCGCTTTTCACATCAAGTGGACGTCCCGAGGCGCTGATTCAAGATACAAAATTCACACTTCTTGGTCTAAGTCTCACTCCATTCTCTGCTTAACTTAATGATTAAGGATACATCAGAAACAAATATTAGTTTCAACTTCACACTACCAGGTAAACAATTGCCTCTTGAGTCAATAGCTTGTACTATATCACATATCTGTTTACATAATGATGCTGAATGATCCAGAATCTATTCACCAATTTCCAAACTTAATCTCAATAATTTAACGGAGCTACTACAGATCAAGTATGTACACATGTGACTTGGAATCAATTCACCAACTTCCAGATTTATTGATTAAAAAGACTAGAGTATCTCTAGATCAGATATGTGCAGGTTTTACCCAGATATGAAGAATGCACCTAATCTTTCTGTAGTTTTCAAACTGAAACCTCGCAAAGTTAGGCACATACCACATTCAATGACTGGATACTTAATCAGTTATGCAACGATGCCTTTCATAATTTAAGAAAAAAAATCTGTTTGAGACAACAAAGAATGAAAGAGTGCACGAGGAAGAATGATGTAACCCTACTAAAACAAACTATCATGGCATTCAGGTAACAAACCTGGGGAAATGTGAATTCACACGTTTACAACTCAAGGGTTTCACTAAATCTTGTAAGTATCAAATATGGTTGGAATGGAACTTACTAACATGGTTGTAGAAAGAAAAAAATCCCCAATGTGTTACAGTATTCACTAGTTTCCAGCAGTCACATGTGCAGTAGGGAATTTCTTCAAAAATAACAATCAAAACTGCAATCTATTTCGAAACACCAAAGCTCCTCAGTTTGAAAATATGTTAGTCATCAACTCGGTGTAAAATCTTTATTCAATATTAATGATATGGTCACTCAATCCACAACTGTTTGTGGGACACTGCTGTGCACAAGTGGCTCTCAAAATATACACCCAAATCACTTTACAGTATATTCTGTGAAGCGTTTTGAGACATCTCGAAGACATGAAAAGGCGTATATCAAATTAATGGATAATTATTATATTCAAATAGAAATTAATAAAATGTTACTAACTAACTAGTTAGCAAATAGTTTCTCAAACCTCTTTGCATTTCTGCTCACCTTCTTCCTTTATACTGAAGTACGTCAGACAAGTAAATCTAGTTGAGGAAGTGGCAAGTTGGAAGCCCACACACACCACAAAAGGCATAAGAAACCGACCCCACCACCACCACAAGTTTACAACTAGTTAAAAACTCTTCTGTAGAAAAAGCTGTGTGACCACATCAAAATGTCAAATGCTGGAAATAATACCAGAGTGGTTTATCGGTGCATATGCTGCAGTGAAAAAACAATTCTTAAACTGTAGAAATAAAAGAAAAAAAAGTGAACGTTATACATCTAAAATAAAAACCACTCAAGATATTATTGTCTCTTTCAGATGCTGATAAAATGTGCATTGCCAACATTTTCCTACTCTTACTTCAAGATATGAATTTCAAAGATATTACTTCCACAGCTAATTGTTACACACACACACACACAACCACGCTACAAGGACACTAGGTCTTTGCTTTCCGCTAGTTCCAGGTTAGATTATGAAATATGACAGTTGACAGGAGTTAACATTGGGGGCACACAACTTTTGTTTTTAACATGCAAACACATACATAGTCCTCCAGCAGAGATGCTTAGACACCAATCTGTAGATTCAGCATTTGACAATATATTCACTCACATAAATCTTGTGAAAAGCTCTTGACTTTAAGCGGTCTGGCACCGGCTTTTTAACAAATATTGAAAGCCTACTCATTCATTCACTTCAATATTTAAAGATGTATTTCATGGCAGGAGGTGTAAAGCTTTGGAGCCCAGAAGAGCATTACCAGGACTAAGAAGGAAATCTTTATCTGAATAGTACTTCAATAAATTAAGTGCAATACACTGTAGTGTTTGATGGGGGGAAAAAAAGTGGGATACATTCCAACAAAACATCTATTTTAACTTATTTCTCATCTATTGGCTTTAATTACTTCTAAAATAATGTAGGTTCGACAAAAACTTAACAGTAAAATTAACGACCTTTCGTCAGAGATCATTGATCCGAAATGTTAGCTCACTTTCCCTCTCCATAGATGCTGCTTTATTATGTCTTCGAGATGTCTCAAAGCACTTCATAGAATAGCCTTTAAATTGCATTGACGATTATTTAAAGGAAGCAAATACCTCTCATATTTCCATAACATGATTTTGGCCTCAAAGTAATAGCCAATGTGTTTAACTAAAAAAAAATAGGTTTTGTGGTCGTGAACAACCAACTTTTTGTGGGCAGGGAACAAGTGCCCAACTCTGTACACCAAAATAAATGTTCCAATAACACTGCGGTGTTAACATCATTGTTTTTAAGATTCTGACAATAGGACACCTTATTACCCCCAAAAAGGACCACCTGTCAGAGACAGACACACATGCACATACTCCTCAGTCGACAGCTCCAGCCTCAATCCATTCCCTCCTCCAACCCTCTCATTCCCTCCTCCAACCCCTCATTCCCTCCTCCAACCCCTCATTCCCTCCTCCAACCCCTCATTCCCTCCTCCAACCCCTCATTCCCTCCTCCAACCCCTCATTCCCTCCTCCAACCCCTCGTTCCCTCCTCCAACCCCTCGTTCCCTCCTCCAACCCCTCGTTCCCTCCTCCAACCCCTCGTTCCCTCCTCCAACCCCTCGTTCCCTCCTCCAACCCCTCGTTCCCTCCTCCAACCCCTCATTCCCTCCTCCAACACTTCATTCCCTCCTCCAACCCCTCATTCCCTCCTTCCCACCCCAATTCCTTCCTCCCCGTCGCTTCCCTCCTCTTCCTGACTTCGCTTCGCTCGCGTGTCCAGCGCCTCGGGACCTTCCCCTCACCCCCTCCCCTCACCCCCCCGTCACAGGCGCTCCATGCACACAGTCAGCAGCTGTTGCTGACTGCCTTACCTCAGTCAGTCCTTCACAAATGTCACCGAAACCTTTCCATTCCCTCTCTCACACACACAGTGAGAGGTTTAAACCCAACGACATGTCCTCCCTCTCTCCCTCCCTCTCCTGTCCGCTCGCCCGGGGCACCCTGGGGATTGTAGTTCCACTCCCACTCCGTCCCCGAGCCGAACTACAACTCCCGACGTGCAACGGGAAGGAGAGGGGTGGGGGGGGCTGCGGGGCAACGCCTGGTCTCGAGGCTGCCCCGCGAGCGGCTGTCACGCGGGCAGCAGCGCTCGCGCGTCGACCGTTGGGGGGACTACTCCTCCCGGGGTGCACCGCGAGGCTCGCCGAGTGAGCATGCGCGCTGGCTCCCCCCTCACAGAGCGGGAGGGAGGTTGAGGCGGAGGAGGAGACGGAGAGAAGCCGACATTCCCGCACGACGGGAGGAGAAAGAAACTCTCGCTGCGCAAGTCAAAAAAAAAAACCCCAAACGAACCGGACCTGACCGCCCAGCCCTTACTTTGTTTTCTTTCCTCTCTTTCCGGTCGCAACTTTCTGCCTCGTGTGCGTCGCGCTCTCCCCCGGTGCCCGCGGACGGCTCCTCTCTCTCACTCTCGCCGTGAGTGACAGGCGAGGGCCCAACCTGCGCGCGCAGCTCACTCCCTCTCCCTCTCTCCTCCCGCCCCCACCACCACCGAGTGCGTGGGTGCGCCCCCCGCGTCATCACGCATGCACAGCTCCGTCACGCCGCTCCCGTTGCTAACAACGAACGCGCGTCGCCGGGCAACCAGATTCCCCCCCCCCCCCCCCGCGCCACGCGTCCCTGGCAACCGCCTTAGTGACGCACACAAGCCGGCCACGTGGTCGCTGCCCCTTTGGAATCAACAACAACAACAACAACAAGATGGCATTGATAGAGCGCCTTTCATGTCGGGAGGACGTTCCCCAAGGCGCTGGACAGTTGGGTCGGGACCCGAGCATTGGGGGGGGGGGAAATGGTCAGGGTGAGGGGAGGGAAGGGAGGGAGCGAGGAGGGGGGTAGGGAGTCGAGAGGGGAGCTGAAGGCACGGCAGGAGGTTTTCAACAACAACAACAACAAATGAGGTTTACGTGGTGCCTTTCACGGTCAGGAGGACGTCCCAAGGCGCTGCACAGTCAGGGATCCGCACCCAAGCTGGGAGTTGGGATCAGTAGAGTGTGGAGGGTATAGAATCATAGAATTATACAGCACCGAAGGAGGCCATTCGGCCCATGGTGACTGTGCCTGCTCTTTGGAAAGAGCTTCCAAATCAATCCCTCTCCCGGGCACAGACACGATGGGCCGAATGGCCTCCTGTTCCGTATAATTCTTTGTGGAGTCCTGTAGCTCAGTGGTTAGAGCACTCGCTTTGCAAGTGAGAGACCTGAGTTCAATTCCAGGCAGAGGGCGAAACCTCGGGCAAGTTTCCTTACTCCACACACCTAATAATAGTCCCTCCAAAACCAAAAACAATAATAAATTGGTCATTTTCAATCTACGACTGTTTGTGGGACATTGCTGTGCGTAATTGGCTGTCGCATTCGCCCACAAATATACAGTCAATTCACTTTACAGTGTGTGTGAAGCGCTTTGGGACGTCCTTCCGACGTGAAAAGCGCTATATCAATTGCAAGGATTATTATTATTATTATTATTTGATTCTATGATAAGTTGAGCATTAGTCCGTTCAGCTTTCCCATCTACAAGATTTCTTTGATGTTTTTATCTCCAAATCTAAGCGCTCTAAATCCTTGTCATCACTAGTTCCTTCTTGAACCCCTTTGTACTTCCTATTCAATTACACAAACAAGTCAATAGTTTCATGTGGGAGTAGACATTCGTCCATCTCACAAATGCACGCAACATCTAACCGAGCAATCTGTTACTTAAAAAAAAGCCTCCTGCATTGTTGTAAATCACTTATAAACATTATAATTTTACTGGTTCCCAATGCTAATCCACGTTTATCTAGTGGGCTATAATACTCTGGTATGCATAACTCACACAGCTAATTTATTCTGTAGTAATACATTTCAATAGAGCCCCTGACGCAGGATAGCATTCCAGAGCGCTTAACAATGGCGAGCACAATGCTCAGCCGAGGAGGAGGAAGGTGATCATCAGCACGGTTGAAGAGGAAGGTCTTCAGGCACAACTTGAAGATGAGGCAATTGCGCACAGCAGTGTCTCACAAACACTGGCGAAGTGAATTGACCAAATTATTATTAGCTCTGACACACAGAACAAAGGTGTCCAGAGGATAGTTGTATCCAGTGCTAGATGCCTGTGGTTTTGAATAATAAAGCATGTTATGTGGTAGAAATTGCCCACTTCTCATTTCCAGTTCTGCCTATGATGCCATTGAATAAAGACGAGGGAAGCAGAACTTCCCACCGCTGAAACTCCAGTCAAAACTTGTGGAGCTGAAGTACTAACAGACATGTCTGTTTCTAGCTGATTATTTGCTAACATTTCGCACTCAGAGATAATGTTAGTTGGCGATAGAGCGGATCATGCACAAATTACTCACATTCTGCCCCGGGTTGTAAAATTGCACCTTTTTAAAAAATTTGTTTAACACCCTGGCTACTTTAATTTTTTTTTTGTCTTGAGACATGCAGGCAACATGTTCATGACTGTTATTTGTCAGCTATCTACGGACAGTCATCAGCAGTGCTGAAGGGACGGTAACTTGTGGAGGTAGTGGTTTCACCGGTAAGATGTGTCCAGAGAGATAGTTAGATTTTTACAGTAATTCATTAGGAAAAAACTGCGTTTTCGTGAGAGAAAAAAAATTTGCTCACTCAATCCATGGCTGTTTGTGGGGACCCTGCTATATGCAACTGGCTGCCGGGTTTCGCCCACAAAATAAACAATCAATGCACTTTACAGTATATTCTTTGAAGCGTGTTACGACATCTCAACGATATGATGAGGCACTATATTAAATACAAGGATTATTAGTAATAGTCTGCCCTCCCCTGCAGTCATCTTCAAATGTGTCTGCCTTACAATAATAATAATAATCCTTGCATTTGATTTACCACTTCATCACGTCGTTGAGACGTCTCAAAGCGCTTCACAGAATATACCGTAAAGTGCTTGTAAGGTGTGTGAATCAGGTGATTTGTTGGTTTATAAGGAAGGCTCCCAATGGAACTCCTGAGGGCAGTATCTCCCCTGAGCAGCCCGTTCCTGCTATCATCAATCAATGTTCTGTGATCAAGTCACAGTTCCACATGCAGTCAGAAAAACCTGTGTAAGAATCTACATTGTATGGCACAATGTCATCTAGTGGCTTTATAAATTGTTACAACTGCAGTACTACTAATAATGCTTGCATTTGATATAACACCTTATCACCTCCATAGTATATTCTGTGAAGTGCTTTTGCTTTCTTTAATACCGCAATGGCATATCATTATAGAGATGTCTAGAGATGTCCTCTTGAGGATTATTACTCTTGATACTAGAGATGTCCTCTTGAGGAAATAGGACTCCAGGGGCAAGAGAGGGCCCTTTGGGGCTGCCGTAGTTGTGTGAATCAATTCAATTGATTGATTAGATTCCTGCCCGCTCATGTGGACGTGTGGTAAGTTCAGTGCTTATGGATGGGTTGGGAGGAGGGAGAGGAAGAGAGACGGAGAAGGGTGGAGTGGAGTGCAATCTGAGAACCTCTCTGAGTTGGGTTCTAGAACCAAGTGGATTGTGATGTGGGGCTGTGTTCCCTCGCTCCCCGCCCACCCCCACCGGGTCAAAAGTCCACAGGTTCTGGGATCTCAGCCAAGTCTCCATCTCCTTCCCCAACCAGATCTCCAGATCTAATTCACTCCATCATGTCTCTGACCAATCTAGCCCCTCACTGGTCCAACAGTCCACGGTCAACTGATTCTCCAACAGGTGTATTCCTCTCATTCCGTCTTGTCTGTCACACACCCAGCAAACATAGCACATTTGGTTGCCATGCTTCCCCCCCGTGGAGATTATTATGCACATGTTATTTTGAATGTTCCTACACAGCCCCACTCCCTGAACTCAAAAGTCAGATGGCTTAAGAACGTGCAAGGCTCTTACTACATCCAGTACATAGCAATACATTGTTAGTCGATTGGCGGATTGCTTTTCTAGGGGTACTAATCCCTTCCAAAAAAAGATGATAATAATTTGGTCACTCAATCCACGGCTGTTTGTGGGGATGTCGCTGGGCGCAATTGGCTGCCGTGTTTGCCCACAAAATATACAGTCACTACACTTTACAGTGTAACCTGTGAAGAGCTTTGAGACGTCTCGAAGACATGACAAGGCGCTGCATCAAATGCAAGGATTATTAATATTATTACAACAACAGCAGTACGATGGGTGAGGTTTTGCCTGGCTCCGGCCTCCTGCTTGTCCCTCTGTTTCACCATCAGCGGCCGCCCTTTCAGCCACTACGAACCCCATACACTGGAACCCTCTCCCTCAATCCCTCCACCTTGCCCCCTCCTTCCCCCTGTTTTAGGTCACAACTGAGGGCTTTGACAGTGCTTATGGTCACCTCAGCTCGGCTTCGGGCTCCGTCACTGTTAAGCACCCCAAGAGATTGCCTTGTACGAAGGACGCTGTGCAAATGCAAGTTGTTTTTTTATTGGTGTCCAAAGTGCATGTATTTTAGAGAGTTAGCAAGGGAGGAAAGGGAGAGATTAGGAGGTTTTTTTTTAACACGCACAAACACATGCATTGGAATATGGAATGCCCTTCCCAAAGACAGAGACAACTTGCCGTTCTACCCTGCCCTTCATGCTGAGCTGCACCTCAGAGTGGTGGGCGAGGCAAGGAGCCATATTGAATTTTGAGGGGGATCAATGAGATATTGCAGAGACGACAATGCCACCTTGAAGGGCGCTGTGTAAATAAATACAGGTTGCTGTGGTAAAGAGGAAGAAGGGCGTGTTATGGGTGAAAAGACAGATTCCAAATCGTAACATGGGGGCTTGAACCCACAATCTTCTGATTCAGAGGCGAAAGAGAGAGAGTGCTACCACCGAGCCAGGCTAACACACAATTCCACCCCCCAGTCGTTGCTCACAGGCCCCCATAAACAAATCTTTGGACGTCGGAAGGAAATTTGCATTGGCTGTTTTTTTGCCAGGATGCAAATCCACCAGACTTTTGCTGTGTGAAAAATGGCTGCACATCATCAGCTGATGAAGGGCTCTAACCATTTGAATGAAACTACCAGAGAGAGCTACTCGCTTAACACACTCTTTCCTCTTGCACAACAGGTCCTGTTCTGTAAGAGAATGTTCACTGTGGATCCAGTGACGATTCTCAAAGCATAACCCTCCTCAAGGTGGGGAAGGTCTTCAAGAATGGAAACTGAGAACTCTCTCAAGTGGCTAATTGCTCCGGATGGGTTCATCCCGAACTCTGTCATTCGCTCCCGCCTCTGGCCTGATGACTGCCCTTGCCCTCTCGATGAAAAGCTCCCCAACATAAAGATGTATAATAAACAACTGATCACCAACAAGATTATGGGCCTGAATTTCGACAATAACCTTCTGTCTGAACTGGTCAACAGCCTGTGGTTTGACATCAGTGTAGAGGGTATGGATCTCAAGACGGTGATCGAGGGACTCTTTGAGATAATGGACAAGGGAGATGAGCAGGTCTACGAATTTTGTATGGATGGGCTGAGCAACATCATGAAGAATTATGAAGCCCCCAAGCAGTTGGAAACCAAGATCGTAAAGAAACTCTTGAAAGACTCCATTGCTTCGGAAGTATGGAAGACCAAGAACGCCCAGAAGATGATGGACAAGCTGGAACTGAAGTCGGCCAAGGTAGTCCATTTGGCACAGACCCTGCAGGACCCCAATGAGGACTTGAGAAAGGCGGCCATAGAGATGCTTAAACAAGAGACGGAAACCTCTGATCTCAAGTCCCTGGTGAAATTGCTCAAGTCTGAAGGACCGAAAAATAAGTTGTAAGTCTTGGGCATATAGGAATAAGAGGAGGCCATTCAGCCCCTTGAGCCTGTTCCACCATTCTATTAGATCTGTACCTGTATGTTTTGCACACAAAATGTACAGTCATTCCAATTTACAGTGTATTCTGTGAAGCGCTTTGAGATGTCTTGATAAAGTGATAAGGCGCTATAACAAAATGCAAGGTTTATTATTACCTCACCTCCAATTAGCAGGGAATATCAGTTGATAAGTGCATTTAGGAGCTCAGTCCTCAGCTTGTGTGTGTGTGTGAGAGAGAGAGAGAGAGAGAGAGAGCTCCTTATCGTGTCATTGAGGTGGAGTCCTGTATGGTAGTGGTCAGAGCACTCGACTCGCAAGGGAGAGGACGTAGGTTCAATTCACGAGCAGGGCATCGCATTAGGCAAGTTTCCTTACTCCATACACAAGCCTCTATTTACCCTCCCCTGCCTCCACCCTTCCTGATCCCAAACCTCAGCTCAGGTACAAATCCCTGACTGTCCAGCGCTTTGGGACATCCTTCCGACGTGAAAGGCGCTGTGTAAGAGCCATTGATGTTGTTGTTGTTGAATTTCTCCAAACATCAGCTTATCCTTGGTGTCAACCCAAGTTATTTTCTTCTTAAGTATAATTTGCTGTGGTCTTTAGGCTGGATCTGTCAGAATCCATGCGGAAGGTAATGATACAAGATCTCAAAAAACAACTGGTTGAAGAAAAGGCCAAGGAATTGATTCGGAAGTTGCCGAAGATTAAAAGTAAAAATTTTCCAGGCGCTTCTCAAGATTCGATTCTTAAAGGAAGAGTATTCACCAGGAGAGTCAGTAAAGCTAAGAAAGACGATGAACATACAGCAAAGACAAAAGGCAAAGGTATTCGGGTCCCCTAATACAATCTTGTTGTAGTTAGTCGATTTGCGGATTGCTTTTCCGGGTATAATAATTCCTTCGAAAAAAAATAATAACGTGGTCACTCAACCCACGGCTGTTTGTGGGACGTTGCTGTGCGCAATTGGCTGCCGCGTTTTGCCCACAAAATATACAGTCAATTCACTTTACAGTATATTCTTTCAAGCGCTTTGAGACGTCTCAAAGATGTGATGAGCGCTGTATTAAATGGAATGTCTGGAATGGAATGGGCTCGCTCTCTCTCTCTCCCTCTCTCTGGAGCGACCCCCCATGCTTTCCTAATTCCGCATAGTATTAGGCACAGGTTGGCGAGAGCCAAGGCTTGAGGGGAGCCCAGAGTGTGCGTTGGGGGTAACTGCTGGAGTCTAATCAGCTAAAACCACATGTAGCTTGGCCATTCAGAGAGAGATAGCACTGTCTGGTAAGCCTTCCCACTTTGTCCGGCTAGGAACACCCTCCCCGTTAAGGCTTTGGCTTGCAGGGTTAACAGGAGCTGAGTGGGAAGAGAGAGATTGAGGGAAATAGAGAGAGAGAGTGAGTGAATGAGTTGTTGAGTGAGTGAGGAATGGTGAGTGAGTGAGTGTGTGAGTGAGTGAGTGAATGGTGAGTGAGTCAGAGAGTGAGTGAGTCAGAGAGTGAGTGAGTCAGAGAGAGAGAGAGAGAGGTGGAGAGACAGCACAATGTTATTTATTTTCTTCCATTCAGAAAAAGCACGGGAACCAGTGAGAAGTTTGTCTAAAGTCAGGGGCAGTATTGGAGCCGAAACCCACGAACGTAAGGGCTTTGTGACCGAAGAGGAATCCAGGTTGTCTTCTGCCTCCAGCCTCCAGCTGCTGACACTGAAAAAGGTTGAAGAGGGCAAGGCAACCCAGGTCCCCGACAAAACCAAATTGCCTCCCATACTCACGCTTCCCGAATCCGATTCTATCACAGACATAAGGATCCAGACAACCAGTGTCGTCCCATCTCAAAGTAAGAGGTCATCAAGCGATGTATTTGTTAGAACCGAGTCGAGCAAACTTGGACTGAGCAGCCAGCCTCTTGCCGAACGCATCCAGATCCCGTTCATTCACAAAATGACCAGCTCATCTATCAAAGCCACTCTAGCTCCTGATGCCAATCCGGAAGACTGGAGGAGCAGCCTTTACGAGCTGGTCAACACATACGGTAAACGTGCGGCCTCCAAGGAGGACAAACCGGACGTGAAGGGAGAGTCCAGACCAATGGAGATGTACAAGAAGCAAGTCCATGGGAATCAGCAGGAGATCTCGCCCGGCCAAAGGGTCCTGGACACCATTCTTCACCGGACACTGAAGACCAACTTCAACAATAAGTTGTGGCACATTTATTCCCTGCCTTGGCAGCAAAGCTTCGTCACCGTGAAACCGCGTGGCATCAGTAGGTTCGGAATGTTGGGCATGACATGGTCAACCTGTGACTTCACCCAAATAGGTCAGTCGTGCGAGTGGGTCAGGAATTCCTCACACCGGATTGACTCCAGCATCGTCTTGAAGAAAGAACATGGCGACTGACTTTTCGACGGACACCGTTCATCAAATCTTTTCACAGCATGAAATGCGAGGCCGTTCTGCGAAAGAAGCCTCGGGACTCTTCGAAAGAAACAGCTACACAACTAGTAGCCCCCTCCACACTCCATTTTTTATATTTATGGTTTATTGTAAAATAAAATCAGATCTCTCCCCACAAAGAATTTTTGTTTATCTAAGAAAAAAATTATTAAATGTATCGCAAGGTCAGAATCGAAGTGTAAAAAAAATGAATCTTGATGCAAAATTCTTAATAAAATCAAACGAGGAAGAATTTTACCCTTTATTCTTTGGACCGACAACAACAACAAACTGGATTTGCGCCGTGCGAAACCTCAGGTAGAGTAGCACAAACATGCAGAGCTAGGAGGTGGGGGGAGGTGACCGTAGGCACTGGGGATTGGGGAGCAACTGTCGGTGTGTCAGCCTGGCTCAGTCACTTGCGCTCTCGCCTCTGAGTTGTGAGTTCGATTCCCGTGTGCGGCAAAATCTAAGGCAAATTTCTTCACTCTGCACACACACATACACATACACAGCAGTAAGTAGGAACCCTGTTGTTAATCGATTGGCGGGGCTAATAATGGCCACCTCTTCCCCCTACCCCCCAAAAAATGTGTTCCCTCGATCCATAACTGTTTGTCAGACACTGCTGTGCACAATTGGCTGCCGTGCTCAGCTGGAATCGTCAATAGCTTTCACCAGATGTCAAAGACACTGTGTATGTGTAAATTGCATTGTTAGTACCAGCTGTGTGTATACAATTCTCTGCCATTCTCTTCGTATTTGGATTGTGTTGGATAAATGCTGAGGGTTTAAGCAATGTGATACTGGCGTTCATTCTCCCAACCCCAGGTCTGTTGGTCTCTCTGCCATGTCTGACTCAGTGGAGCCCTGTAGCTCCGTGGATAGAGCACTCACTTCGCAAGCGAGAGATCTGGGTTCGATTCCCGGGCAGGGCAAGTTTCCTTACTCCACACCCCTCTGTTCACTTCGTAGTAAGTAGGAATCAGGTTGTTAATTGATCAACGGATCACTTTTCTGGGGGTAATAATTCCTTCAAAAGATATATCAATATATTATAATAATAATAAATTGGTCAAACAACCCACGATTCTTTGTGGGGACGTCGCTGGGTGCAATTGTCTGCCCACAAAATATACAGTCACTTCATTTTACAGTATATCCTGTGAAGTGCTTTGAGACGTCTGGAAGACATGATAAAACGCTGTGTCAAATGCAAAGATTATTATTATTATCTCAGACACGGCTTAGGTGGGCAGCTTACAACAACAACTTGTATTTATACAGCCCCCTCCAGACAGGGCATTGTCTCAGAGCGATTAACAGTGGCGGAGCCTGACTCCAAACAAGGTTGGGGTGGCCGTAAGCACGGTCGAAGAGGAAGGTTTTCAGGCGGGACTTGAAAAAGGCGAGAGAGGGGGCAGGTGGAGGCACAATACACTGTAAAGTGTAGTGACTGTGTATATTTTGTGGACGAAACGCGGCAGCCAATTGCGCCCAGTGACGTCCCCACAAACAGCCGTGGACTAAAGCGACCAAATTATTATTATTATTTTTTTGGAGGGGATAATTAGCCCCAGAAAAACGATGAGGTCGGACACTAGAGGGCGACGTTAGTCACACCTTTCTCAATACACCCACCGTTCCAATCCAATCCTCGTTCCCTGCAACAATGCCATAAAAATGCTTCTTTGACACGTGAAAACGTATTTAATCGTGTGTCAGTCTGGCTCAGGGGCAGCGCTCGCTCTCTCTCTCTCAAACCCCCACACAATACACCCGCACCTCAGGACTTGGAATCATACAGTCTAAGATGATGCTCCAACTCAGCGCTGGGTGTGAGACGTTAAAATGAGCGTTCCCACCTGTTCAGGTGGATGTTAAAGATCTTCCGCCACTCCGTTGGAACAGAGAAGCGAGTTTGTCTCGCTCTCGCTCTCACTCCCGCTCTCCTGGTGTCCTGGCCCCGGATAAAATCGGTCACTTCATTGGCTGTTTGTGGGACGCCACCGTGCGCGGTTGGCTGCCACGTCAAGGCCACAAAATACACAGTCACTACACTCAGCAGCGATTCCCTGTGAAACGCTTCAAAGTGTTTTTTTTAACCCGAGAGGAAGGTTTTACAAAAAAAGAGAGAGAAAATAAATACGGTCATTTCAATCCACGGCTGTTTGTGGGGACGTCGCTGGGCGGCGCAATTGGCTGCCGAGTTTCGCCCACAAAACACACAGTCACTTCACTTTACAGCGTATCCTGTGAAGGCGCTGTATGAAATGCGAGGGTTATGATGATGTGGAGTCCTGTAGCTCAGTGGTTAGAGCACTCGCTTTGGAAGTGAGAGACCTGAGTTCAATTCCAGGCAGAGGGCGAAACCTTGGGCAAGTTTCCTTACTCCACACAGAGCCTAATAACAATCCCTCCAAAACCAAAAACAATAATAAATTGGTCATTTTCAATCTACGACTGTTTGTGGGACATTGCTGTGCGCAATTGGCTGCCGCGTTCACCCACAAATATACAGTCAATTCACTTTACAGTGTGTTCTGTGGGACGTCCTCCCGACGTGAAAAGCACAATATCAAATGCGAGGATTATTATTATTATAATTGTGATGATTATGTAATAAATTATTCTGCACTGGATTGGGAAGGCTCCCGCCTTTCTGTGCCCTGATTGGCCTGTCCGCCTGCACCTTTGTCCGAGCCGCCACCCACCATTGGTCTGCGCGCCTGTCCGTCAAGTCAGCACCACCTACCTTTCGGGGCGGTGTCGCGCGATGGGCACCGGGAGTTGTAGTCGATGGGGGAGCGGCGCCGGCGCAGTGGGCGGCGCACGGGCGACGGGGGACTACAAGTCCCAGCGTGCCCCGCGCGGCTCCAGTGTAACAGCTGGGACCAGCTGGTCGGACAGGCAGAGCTCACTGTGAATGGGGAGCTCAGGGCTGTCTGGTTTATTCCAACGCGGAAGTGGCAGAGGTGAGAGGGAGGTGTGGGGGGGTACCATTCTTTTTATTGGGGGGGGGGAAGGAGAGAGAAAGAGAGAGAGAGAGAGATCAGTCCTTGTGGCTTGGAGGACAGAGAGAGAGAGAGAGAGAGGGGGAGAGAGGAAAAGCCACAATGGAAAGGGAACAGAACACAAATAACATGGCATAACGGGGAGCTCAGTGAAGCTTTCTTAATGATGGTCAGAGATGGGGGTGAGGATAGTGAGCCGAGCGCTTGACGGTCACTGCAAGGCTACATGAGTTTCGTGCGTGGAGATATTTGTGCAAATGGATCCACCAGGGACTAGCTGTAACCAGAGCCCATGTGCGGCGTGTGTGACATGCAACGGGGATCATGAGCTACCTTACGAGCAGTCTCCAGAGTCTAAGCTCCTTCATCATCATGATCGCCATCATCACCATCATCATCATCATCACCTCCCCCATCACCCTCCCACCGGACGCGCTCTGCTCTGGACGGCGGTGTTTGAATACGAGTCCACAGCGGAAGAGGAGTTGACCCTCCGGAGAGGAGACCGGGTGGAGGTGCTGTCGAAGGACGTCAATGTGTCGGGAGACGAGGGCTGGTGGACGGGCAAGATCGGGGACAAAGTGGGGGTCTTCCCCAGTAACTACGTGAGCAGCGATCCCGATTACAGCGAGTTGCCGGCTGCCCAGGACTACCCCCTACCCCCGGTCATCGACTTCAATGAGCTGGTCCTGGAGGAGATCATAGGGGTGGGGGGCTTTGGCAAGGTCTACAGGGGAAGCTGGAGAGGGGAGGAGGTGGCGGTCAAGGCCGCAAGGCAAGACCCGGATGAGGACATTGGCGTGACAGCCGAGAACGTCAGGAAGGAAGCCAGGCTCTTCGGGATGCTCAGGCACCCCAATATCATATCGCTGAAAGGGGTGTGTTTGCGGGAGCCTAACCTGTGCCTGGTGATGGAGTTTGCGCAGGGAGGAGCGCTGAACAGGGCCCTTTCGGGCAGGAAAGTGCCTCCGCACGTTCTGGTCAACTGGGCTGTTCAGATCTCCAGGGGCATGGATTACCTCCATAATGAAGCCATCGTTCCCGTCATCCATCGAGATCTCAAGTCCAGCAACAGTGAGTAGATAATCCCATTATTGTTTTGCCTAGCCGGGTGTCTGACACACACAGAAACCCGTCACCGTGACCTGCTGGGAGTCTGATACACACGGAAGTCCGTCACCGTGACCAACCGCATGTCTAACACACACGGAAACCCATCACCGTGACCAGCCAGGTGTCTGACACGCACGGAAACCCGTCATCGTGACCAGCTGGGACGTCCTCCCGACGTGAAAGGCGCTCTATAAATGGAATCTTGTTGTTGTTGTCACCGTTGCTTAAGTGTCTCCAAACCCAACTGAGAATTCCCCACATCCCCCCCACACCTGGAAAGCCCAGAGATTGTTGGAATGGAATGCGCTCTCTCTCTCTCACTCTCTCTGGAGGGACGCCCCTTGCTTACCTAAGAGTATTAGGCGCAGGTTGGGCGAGAGGCAAGGCTTGGGGTGGAAGGGAGCCCAGAGTGTGTGTTGGGGGTAACTGCTGGAGTCTAACCAGCTAAACCCTCATAGCTTGCCATTGAGAGCTTTGTCTGGCCAAGCTTTCCTGCTGTTTGTCCAGCGAGGACCATAGAGATCCCATTATAACTCATAATTCTTAATTCATAATGCTTTTTGGTGATGTGACTGGGTATCATACTGGGTCCTTTGATTGTTTGAAACAAAGTGGTCTGACACACAGTCACTACACTTGGCTGTAAAATTCTGTTTTGAGATATCCTCCCAACAAAATGGCACTGGATCAAATCAGAGGATTATTATTAATTTTATGATTATACATAGAATTATATAATCATATTATATAAATATTATATTACAGAGGAACAGAGAGATAGAGCCCCTGGTTACCAGCAGTCAGTAGGAACCCGGTTGCTAGTCAATTGAGGGAATCGCTTTCCGGGGGTAATAATCCTTTCAAAAAAAATTAAAATTGGTCACTTCGATCCACGACTGCTTGTGTGGGACTGTTGCGTGCAATTGGCTACCACGTTTCGCACCCAAAATCCACGATCACTACACTTTACAGTTGTAGACACTTTATAATAATAATAGTAATCCTTGCATTTGATATAGCGCTTTTCATGTCTTCTAGATGTCCCAAAGCACTTCACAGAATAGACTGTAAAGTGAATTGACTATATTTGTGGGAGAACGCGGCAGCCAATTGCGCACAGCAATGTCCCACAAACAGTCATGGATTGAAAATGACCAATTTATTATTGTTTTTGGTTTTTGGAGGGATTATTATTAGGCTCTGTGTGGAGTAAGGAAACTTGCCCGAGGTTTCGCCCTCTGCCTGGAATTGAACTCAGGTCTCTCGCTTGCAAAGCGAGTGCTCTAACCACTGAGCTACAGGACTTTAAGACGTCTCGAAGATGTGATAAGGCGCTGTGTCCAATGCCAGGATTCTTCTTATTATTAATTTGGGGGTCTACGAAAGCAGACGATGTGAGATGAGAGTAACTTACTCGAGCCACGAATGTCACCTCATTCTCTGCAAACACCCAACACGATAGACCTTGAATAACAGCGTGACTCCCTCCTCTCACCTCTTCTAAAACTCTGACTTGTGACCTTAGGTGACACACGTGTGGCTGGGGGTCAGAGTTCCCGTTAACTGCAACTGCTCAGTGACAACAACCCTTGCGTTTACACAGAATCTTATCATGGGAAGGCGTCTCAAAGCGCTTCACGACATTTTACTGTCAAGCGCAGTGACTGTGTGTCTTGTGGGCTTTGTACACGATTTGTGACCAGCGATGTCCCCTCACTTTTGAAACAGGTCTTGAAGGAGGCGAGGGACGGGGGGAGGCGCAGTGGGACTGTGGGATAGAGTTCCAGAGGATGGGGGCAGAGAGGCTGAAGGCCCGACTGCCGATGGTGGGGCGGGCAGGGCTGGGCGGGGGGACGTGGAGCAGGCCGGAGGCCGCTGAGCGGAGGGATTGCGAATGGAACTCCATCCCATCATCCCTTCGCCTCGCTCCCTCGCTTGCCTCCTTCAAGGTGCGATTTAAGACCCTCCTTTTCGACTGTGCCCTCCCTCCTCTCAACCCTCCCTCATCCCGACATTGCCCCCCCCCCCTCTCTCTCGGGTCCTGATCCCCGACTGTTCAGCCCCTCGGGACGTCCACCTAACGTGAAAAATGTAATTTTGTCGTTGAACTGATTTGGGGATGCGGTGGTTGGTGGAAAGGGTTAAGTCTACGCACTTTCTCTGTGAGTGAGTGACTGTGTGAGTAACTGGCGTGAGTGTAGTTTGTCTTGTGATTGGCAACGAGGAGGATGTGAGCAGGTTTGTCCTTGACGTTTATGTCCCAAGCAGGAAATTTTCTACACGTGATGCCTCTCTCGCTCTCACCTTAACATCTCTGCTTCCAAAGCAAACACAGGCCACACCTCAACTCCTAGCCTTGGGCCACATATCCACATAGTCCTTCCCCACCCTCCAGACATCCGGTGTCTGTGTCCACAGAGCAACCTCCCTTCTCCCCTCCCCTGTCTCCTTTCCCCCTCCCTCTCTTCCCCTTCTCTCCTCTCCCCCCCCCCACCACCACCCCTCTCTCCATCCCTCTTTCTCCACTTAATAATAATATTTTGGCACTTGCGGAGTCTCTCCCTGTAGCTCAGGGGTTAGAGCCCTCGCCTCGCAAGCCAGAGGAACCTGATTCGATTCCCTGATGGGTCAGGTCAGGGCGAAACTTTGGGCAAGTTTCCTTACTCCCCCCCCCCCCCCCCTCCCCACACACACACACAGACACACACTCAGACACACACACGCACGCCTCTGTTTACCCAGTTGTAAATAGGAACCCGGTTCGGTTGTTAGTCGATTGCTGGATTTCTTTTCCGAGGGTAATAATCCCTTCAAAAGAAAAAAATTATTATAATATATTGGACACTCCAATCCACGACTGTTGGTTGACTGAGAGAGCGAGAGCAAGAGAGAGTGGGAGAGAGGAAGCGAGAGGGAGCGAGAGAGAGAGGGAGCTTTGTAAGTAGTCAGCACTAGCCCTACAGGAACTGAACTTCTTTATCATGAACCAGGCAGGAGGTGTTGCACTGCCAGAGACGCTGTCTTTCGGATTAGACTTTAAACCCTCACCCGCTCTCCCCGTCTATGTCCCGATTCAGGGCAGAAGTTAAAGATCTCCCCCGCGCTGTCGGGGTGGGGGGGCAGCGGGGGAAGAAAGAAGTTTCTCTCTCTCTCTCCCGGTGTCCTGGTCGACAACACCCCCTCCGCCCCGGATAAAATCAGTCGCTCGATCCACGACTGTTTGTGGGGACGTTGCTGGGCACAATTTGGCTGCTGCGTTCCGCCCACAAAATACACAGTCACTGCACTTGACAGTGTGTCCCGTGAAGCGCTTTGAGATGCTTTGATGCCGTGATAAGGCGTCAAATGTGAGGATTATTATCATTATATATATATATATCTGTCAGGTTTGGGGACACAGCGGCAGAGGATAGGCCTGGCTTTGGGATGTGTTGTCGTCACAGGCTCCCATTGTTCAGGCAGAGTTGAGTTGGAACCAAGGTAGCGGGACATTTGCATGTCAGTGTGAGAGCGACAGAGCAAGCACTGTCCTGTCCTGTTGCCCCCTCCCCCTCCCCCCCCCAGGCCCCACACAGAGCCAGAGGTCCCTCTCATGACACTCATCACGTAGGAATAGGAGGGGGCCATTCAGCCCCTCGAGCCTGTTCCGCCATTTTATCAGATCATGGCTGATCTGTACCTCAAAACCCAATTGCTCGGCTTAATAATAAAAATAACAATCCTCGCATTTGACACAGCGCCTGATCACGTCTTTGAGATGTCTCAAAGCACTTCACAGGATACACTGTCAAGTGTAGTGACTGTGCGATTTGTGGGCGAAACGTGGCAACCAATTGTACCCAGCAACGTTCCCCACACATACAGCCAAATTTTAGTTAGACACTCAGCTGATCACGGTGACGGGTTTCCCTGTTGACTCTCTTGACTTGTGTTATTTTATTTCAGTCCTGATTCTCCAGGATGGGCCGGGGGCGGGGGTGGGGGGGGGGGAGGGGGAGGGAGAGGACTTGGCCGGGAAGACGCTGAAGATCACGGATTTCGGACTCGCTCGCGAGTGGCACCGGACAACGAAGATGAGCGCGGCTGGAACCTATGCCTGGATGGCCCCCGAGGTCATCAAATCCTCCCTGTTCTCCAAGAGTAGCGACGTGTGGAGGTGGGTCAGAGGGGGGGGGGGGGGGCTTGGGGAGGAGGGGGCTCAGAGTGGGCGGGGCTCAAGGGAGGCGGGGTTCAGAGTGGGAGGGGCTCAGGGTGGGAGGGGCTCGGGGTGGGAGGGGCTCAGAGTGGGAGGGGCTCAAGGGAGGCAGGGTTCAGAGTGGGAGGGGCTCAGAGTGGGAGGGGCTCGGAGTGGGAGGGGCTCAGAGTGGGAGGGGCTCAGAGAGGGTGGGGTTCAAAGAGGGTGGGGTCAGAGAACCTTGGGCAAGTTTCCTTACTGCACCCACCCACACACACACAGACACACACTTAAGGACTCTCTGTCCCCGGCAGTCAGTAGGAACCCAGTTGTCAGGCGATTGGGGGATCACTTTCCGGAGGTAATAATCCCTTCAAAACAATAATAATTTGGTCGCTTCAACCCGCGACAGAATTATTATTGTTATTACTAATATTGGTGACGGTGAGGGTTGGTTACAGATGGTGGCGAGTTGATGGTGAGGGTATAACAATAACAGTTCTCTCTCCCCAACCCACTCCCACCACCTCTAGTTTCGGTGTGTTGCTGTGGGAGCTGTTAACCGGGGAGTTACCTTACCGCGATATCGATGGCCTGGCCGTGGCTTATGGTGTCGCAGTGAACAAGCTGACATTACCAATTCCCTCCACCTGCCCCCAACCCTTTGTCGACCTCATGGAAGGTAGGAGCCTGGTGAGCGAGTACCAGTACCGCAATGGGGGGGAGAGAGAGAGAGTAGGGGATGGGGTTAGAGGAGAGAGAGAGAGGTCCAGTGGGAGAGCCGGGGTGGGGGGGTTAGGGAGGGGAGAGGTGACTGTAGGTACTGGTCGAAGAGGAAGGTCTTCAGGCGCGACCTGAAGATGGGGTAGGGCGAGGCGGAGGGAGGGAGAGAGGGAGAGTGACACGATGGGGGAAGATCAGGGCTCTCACTAACTGTGTGAGTGTTTCTGTGTGACTCTCTCTCTGTGTCTCTGACTCTGTGTCTCTCTCTCTCTGTCTCTCTCTCTCTGTGTCTCTGTCTCTCTCTGTGTCTCTCTCTCTGTGTCTCTGACACACTCTCTCTCTCTGACTTTGTCTCTCTCTCTCTGTCTCTCCCTCTTTGTGTGTGTGTGTCTCTCTCTGTGTGTGTCTCTGACTCTCTCTCTCTCTCTCTCTCTACGCACCAGGTTGTTGGAGCTCAGACCCTCACTCCCGACCGGGTTTTCCTGAGATCCTGGAGACGTTGGTGGTTATCGAGAGCTCCTGTGTCTTCCATTTGCCCCTCGAGTCTTTCCACTCACTACAGGAGACCTGGCGCCTGGAGATCCAGCTCATGTTCCTCCAACTCCGCACCAAAGAGAAGGTATAGCAATCAGCCCCTCCCCTCCACCACAGCCCCACCCCTCAGCCACACCCTCCACCACAGCCCCACCCCTCAGCCACACCCTCCACCACAGCCCCACCCCTCAGCCACACCCCTCCTCATAGCCCCTCCCCTCCACCACAGCCCCCACCCTCACAACCACTACCCCCATATAGACCCTCCCCTACCTAAAACACAGCCCCTCCCTCACAGCCCCACCCCCTCACTCACAGCCCCTCCCTATCACTCAGGAGCTGCGGAGCTGGGAGGAGGAGCTGACACGAGCAGCCGTGCAGCAGAAGACGCAGGAGCAGGAGCTGAGACGCCGGGAGCAGGAGTTGGCAGAGCGTGAGATTGACATCGTGGAGAGAGAGTTACACATCATTATGCGGCAACTGAACCAGGAGAAACCGCGGGTCCACAAGCGCAAGGGACACTTCAAGAGGAGCCGCCTGAAAGCCAGAGACGCCAACCGCATCAGCCTACCGTCAGGTGTGTGCAAACCGCGGCGTGCGAACCCCAGGCTCGACAACACCCCCCGCCCCGCCCCGCCCCGCCCGCTGAGTGGGTGGGGCTGAGGCTGAGTGGGAGGGGCTGTGGCTGAGTGGGAGGGGCTGCTGCTGAGTGGGAGGGCCTGTGGCTGAGTGGGAGGGGCTGCAGCTGAGTGGGAGGGGCTGTGACTGAGTGGGAGGGGCTGTGGCTGAGTGGGAGGGGCTGTGGCTGAGTGGGAGGGGCTGTGGCTGAGTGGGAGGGGCTGTGGCTGAGTGGGAGGGGCTGTGACTAGGTGTTTGTGCTCAGGTTTTGAGCACAAGATCACTGTTCAGGCGTCGCCCACTGTGGACAAAAGGAAGGGGCCGGGCGTGGAGGGCAGCCCCCCAGCGAGCCCCATCCTCATCCCCAGGCTCCGCGCCATTCGCTGTAAGTAACCCGTCCTTGCCTTCATCATCACCACCATCACCATCATCACCACCATCACCATCATCACCACCATCACCATCACCACCATCAATGTCATCATCATAATCCTCGCCTCTGACCCGGCACCTTATCACGGTTTTGAGATGTCTCAAAGCGCTTCGCGGGACACACTGTAAAGTGTAGTGACTGCGAATTTTGTGGGCGAAGTGCGGCAGCCAATCGCGCCCAGCGATGTCCCCACAAACAGCCGTGGTTTGGGGGGAATTGTCGGTAGGATAGAAAGAGAGAGAGAGGGCGCCACCACTGAGCCAGGCTGACACTCAGCACGCTTTCACCTCCGGAGGACGCCTCAAAGTAATTCACAGGATTTCTTTCTGACGTGTAGTGACTGTGTTTTGTGGGTGGGTGTGTGGAGGTTACAATGTGTTGCTGTTGGCTCTGGAGCAAAAAGGGAGCAATTTCACCCTCTAGTGGCCACTTCAGGTATCAGCTTGGCTCTGCGCGTGTGCGTGTGTGTGTGTGTGTCAGTCTGGCTCTGCGCGTGTGCGTGTGTGTGTGTGTCAGTCTGGCTCTGCGCGTGTGTGTGTGTGTTAGTCTGGCTCTGCGCGTGTGCGTGTGTGTGTGTGTGTGTGTCAGTCTGGCTCTGCGCGTGTGCGTGTGTGTGTGTGTGTCAGTCTGGCTCAGTGTGTGTGTGTGTGTGTGTGTGTGTGTCAGTCTGGCTCTGCGCGTGTGCGTGCGTGTGTGTGTGTCAGTCTGGCTCAGTGTGTGTGTGTGTGTGCTCTATCCTGGACGACAATTCCCTCCAAATAAAATCGGTCGCTTGCTCCACGACTGTTTATGGGGATGTCGCCCGGCGGAAACTGGCTGCCAGATTTCGCCCACAAAATGCACAGTCACTACACTTTATGGCGTGTCCTGTAAAGCGCTTTGAGACATCTTGACAATGTGATAAGGCGCCGGGTCAAATGCCAGGGTCATTATTATTTGATGGTCTCTCTCTCTCTCTCTCTGATGTTTCTCTCTCCCATACCCCGCTCTCACTGATGCTTTCTTTATCTTTCTCTCCGCTTCTCTCACTTTCTCTCTCTCTCTGGTAGTGACCCCTGGGGAAGGGGCTCAGACCTGGGGACGTTGCGCAGTGTACAAACGGGAGGAATTCGAGGGCAACAAGAAGAGAGGCCGAACGTGGGGCCCAAGCTCCACCCAGAGCCGAGAGCGACAGGGCGGAGAGGAGAGGTGAGAGAGAGGGAAGTGTGTGAGAGCGAGAGATAGAAAGTGTGAGAGAAAGAGAGTGTGTGTGAGAGAGAGAGAGAGAGAGACAAGTGGGTATGTGTGTGAGAGAGTGAGTGTGTGAGAGGGAGGGAGTGAGACAAGGAGTGAGGGAGTAAGAATGAGTGTGAGAGAGGGAGAGAGAGAGAACATGTAAGAAAGAGAAAGACAGTATGTGTGAGACACAGTGTGTGACAGAGACAGTGACACAGTCTGTGACAGAGACAGTGACACAGTGTGTGACAGAGACAGTGACACAGTGTGTGACAGAGACGATGACACAGTGTGTGACAAAGACAGTGTGTGACAGAGACAGTGACGCTGTGTTGATGCTCTTATCCTCAGACTAAAGACTTTGGGTGATGGCTGTAAACTGTGGTCGTCCAGTGCCCCCAATCTGGGCAAATCCCCCCGACACTCAGCCCTGCCCGGAGGGTTCCCCAGCCTCACCAGCATGGGTATGTTATATATGTGTGTGTCTGTGTCTGTGTGGCTGTCTGAGCGCAAATTGGCCAACAAAACACAGTCACTACACCAGTGGTAGTATAGTCACGCAGTGGAATTACACAACACACAGTCACTACACTGGACGGGTGTGCATTTCGTGAGGTGACTCAGATGCGTGTGTGGAGCTGACGATTGTCCTCTCCCCCTTCTCCCCCCCCCCGCTCTCTCTCTCTCCCCCCCACCTTCTCTCTCCGCAGAAACGCGGAGCGTGGGCGGAGAGCAACCCCACTCTCCGAGCCGCTGGGAGCCGGAGGTCACCGAGGGGCCGGGTGGGGGCTGTGGGGGTCCGGTCAACAGCCCCCGGCGCCCCACCCAGCGCAGGCGAAGTGACTGTGTGCTGCTGGCCTGCTCCGCCCTTCTGGCTTCAGTGGCCCTTGGCTATGACCTGACAGAACATGGCCGACACCAGGACGAGCAGGAGAAGAGGAAGAAGGAAGGGTTATTCCAACACACACCCCGACTCCGCCCCATCTGTAGCCCCCCGGGGCGCTGGGGGGTAAAGAGGGAAGACTCCATCCTCCCCACGTCGGACCCTTCCCCCGTTACCCTCCTCTCCCTCTCCTCTCTCTCCGACTGCGCCTCCACTCGCTCCCTCCTGTCCTCCGAGAGCGGGGAGACCCCCTGCGCTTGGAGGGAGACCTCCCCCCCGGCGTTGCCCCCAGCTCCGGCCCCAGCCCCCAACCCTCTGGTGGACCTGACAGCCGAGAGCTTCAAGAGGGACCCTGGGCAGTCGCTGACCCCTACCCACGTCACTTTGGCCGCAGCTCCGCCTCGTCGCACGCACAGGAGGGTCCCGTCTGAAGGGGCCATCGTCAAACCCCAGAGTCAGACACACGTCCACCGCAGACTGCAGTCAGATAGCAACGCACAGCGACTACACACAGGTAACTCCACACCACCTCCCCCCGCCCAGACCTCACCTGGAGTCTCTCCCTATAGCTCAGCGGTTAGACCCCTCGCCTCGCGAGCCAGAGGACCCGGGTTCGATTCCCGGGCGGGTCAGATCAGGGCGAAACATTGGGCAGGTTTCCTTACTTCCCCCGCCCTGGACACACACACACACACGCCTGTGTCCCCAGTAGTCAGTAGGAACCCGCTTGTTAGTTGATTGGGGGATCACTTTCCGGGGGTAATTATCCCTCAAAAATAATAATAATAATAATAATTCGGTCACTTCAACCCACGGCTGTTTGTGGGGACGTCGCTGGGCGCGATCGGCTGCCGCGTTTCGTCCACAAAACACACAGTCACTACACTTGGCAGTGTGTCCCATGAAGCGCTTTGAGACGTCTCGATGACGTGATCAGGCGCCGGGTCACACGCCGGGGTTGTTATTATTTATTATATTATTGTTGTCTTTTTTTTCTTTCAGGTTTTCCCACGGATTGGGAAACCCCTTCTGTCCCGGATTCAGATGTCATTCCACGCCGGAAGCCCCCAGAACAGTCCGGAACGCCAGAGAGACCGAAGACGCTGGAGTTCGCCCCACGTCCCCGGCCCCCGCCCTGCCCCGCACGACCCCGGATCGACCCCCGGCGTCTGGTCTCCTTCACCAGGACCCGCAGCTCCTCACCAGCCAATGGCGCTGGGGGTGCTGAGACGCCGAGTGGCGGGGAGAACGGGAGCTCCCGTTACCGTTCCCGTTCCCATTCCCGTTCCCGCCACCAAGCCGAGTCTCTGCTGGATGCGGATCTGGCAGGTCAGACACAAGACACGACCCCCTCGCTGTGTGGGAGGAGTTTCCCCCAAAGTCAGGACTCGACCAGCAGCTGGAAGCCCGGGAACACACGGTGAGAACTGCGGTGATCACGGGAAAGGGTCCGATTAGCTCCACGTCAACTGAACAACAGCAACTTGCCAGCCGTGTCTCGCAGCCTGACTCTGAGCTGGAGAGGGGTGTTTGGAGGTTGGGGGGGTTGGGGGGGGGGAAGGAGGTAATGATAAACACAGTTGAAAAGGTTTTCAGACAGGACTTGAAAAGGGAGAGGGAGGGACTGAGGGAAGAGTGTGACAGAGTTGTGGGGTGTAGTGGCTCAATGCGGGACCGCAATCAATCCTGTATCCTGCTTGCTTACCTAATTCTGAAGAGTGTTAGGCACAGGTTGGCTTGCCACCCACGTTTTTTTGGGGGGAAGGCAAAGCTTTGTGGGGGGAAGCCAAGACTTGGGGAGTGAGCCCAGAGTGTGCGTTGGGGGTAACTGCTGGGTCTAACCGAGATTCCCCCCCCCCCCCGAGTCAATGTAACAGAGGAAAATGTTTTGGGGGTGAAGATTTATTGACCCATTCTTTGGGGCCAATCATATCTCATCCCCTCTTGTTGCCCCCCCAACTGCCCCTCAACCCCCCCTCACATCACATCATGGCCATTAGATGTTCCTCAAACTGGACACAGTGTCGTGGGCCTCAAAACTCCCTCTCCCGATTGATTGAAATCCATGCAACTTGCGAATCAACCAACCAAGTAACCAAATGGCATGGTTGACCTCCCCCCACCTACTCACCCACCACCCTACACCTGAGCTGGGGATGGGTGCCGAGGGGAAGGGCAGGGGGTGCTTTGGGAGAGATGACCGAAATCATGGTCAAAGGAGAAGGCCTTGAGACAGTCATTGAGCAAGTAGAGTGAGAGACTGATTTGAGTCAGAGACACTGCAGGGTGCAATAATAATAATCGTGCATTTGATACAGCGTCTCAAAGCGCTTCCCAGGAGTAAAGTGTAGTCACTGTGTATTTTGTGGGCAACCAATTGCGCACAGCAGCGTCCCTCAAAATAGTTTGTGGATTGAAGTGACCAAAATTATTATTTATCTTTTTATTGAAGGGATTATTTGAAGGGGGTTGGAGAGTCAGGGGACAAATTTGATTGCAAAGCGAAGTGACTGTGTTTTGCACAAGAGGGGTAGGGAGGGGTGGGGGAATGGGGCGTGAGTTGAGGAGGAGGTGGGAGTGGGGATGCAACAATAACCTCAACAGCAGGAAAATTGATGTATAAATTCTGTACAAACTGGTGAACTGTGATGTCTAGTCTGGCTCAGACCAGCGCACCAAGGCAATACTTAACAGAAATCATGCGGCAACGCAAATAACTTGCGAAATGACTATTGCATTAGCAGGAAACGTTATTTATTTATACTTGTAAATACATGTAAATAGCTGCTGGAGAGAGAGAGAGAGAGAGAGCAGGTTCGTTCTAAAATTATACCCGTGAGGCGAGAGAGCGAGAGATAGAGAGCGCGAGTCAGTGGTTTGTGAAGGTAAATTAAAACAAAGGACAAGTCTGTTTGTCATTTCTGCTGTTGTCTCACCACTTTTTCAGAATTATTGTTAGTAATATTATTAAATCGTAATAATTCTTGCATGTGCTACAGCGCCTTATCGCGTCTTCGAGACGTCTCAAAGCGCTTCACAGGATATACTACAAAGTGTAGTGACTGTATATTTTGTGAGCGACACACGGCAGCCAATTGGGCCCAGCGACGTCCCCACAAACAGTCGTGGATTGAGCGACCCAATTTTTNCTTTGAGGGATTATTATCCCCAGAAAAGCGATCCGCCAATCGACTAACAACCAGGTTCCTACTTACTGCTGGAGTGTGTGTGTCTATGTGTCTGTGTCTGTCTGTGTGTGTCTGTCTCTATGGGTTTGTGAGTGTCTGTCTGTCTGTCTGTGTCTGTGGGTGTGTGTGTGTGTGCAGATAGGAAACTTGCCTAAGCTTTCGCCCTGACCACACCTGTCCAGGAATCGAACCCGGGTCCTCTGGCTTGCGATGAGAGAACATTCTGGAACAGCAGAGGGATGATTGAGGACGTGATGACTGAGAGAGTGGTACCCAATCGCGTCAGCACCCCATAACCTCATCCATCCTTGGTTGCTGTGGAAACAGTATCCATGTAAACAACCAGGGCTGATCTTAGTCTCTTTCTCTCTTTCTGTTTCTCTCTCTGCTCCTCTTTCTCTCTCTCTCTAAACCCTTCTCTCTTTGAGCCTATGTGTGCGTGTGTGTTTCTTGTTCTGCCCACCCCACCCCATCTCTTTCTCTCCTGGGTGTCTCGCTGCCCCCACTCTCTCTGTCTCACTATCTCTGAACCCATCTCTCTGTGCCCCTCTGTGTGTGTTTCTCTCCCCCACAGTATTGATGGCAGTCAGTCAATGATTATGTGTGTGTGTGTGTGGGGGGGGGGGGAGGAGGGGAGAGTGAAATAAACACTGATTCCTAACACCCCCCTTCCCATCCCGTCAATCCCCCGAAATGTTACAATTCTGCAACTTAAGGCCCAGAATTTTTTTTCTTTAATAAAATCAAAACATAAAATGCATTTATTACATGGTCAAACAGATCCAGTTTCCTTTTACATTTATAACTTGTTAAAAACTGGGAATAATGATTATTGTGGAAGCTAAATCGATAAAAGCTTTTAAGAGAGAAGTAGATCATTATTTGGGGAGGACAAGTTTGCAAGGCAATGGGGAGAGAGCGGGGGAGTGGGGTTGGTCAGGGCTATGGGGAGAGCGTGGGGGGGAATGGTGTTCAATTGGAAGCTCTTATCAAAGAGCCGGCACAGACATGATGGGCCGAATGGCCTCCTTCTGTGCCGTATAATTCTGTGATTCTATGATTGTCCTACTTTCGGATAACCCTTTCACATTCCTCTCTCTCCCTCTCCCAACCCTTCCCCCTCTCCCTCTGCCCCCTCACCCTTCACTTCCCCCCTTCTCTCCCCCCTCCCCCTCTCTCCTTCCCCTCTCTCCCCGCTCCCCTCCAACCCTCTCTTCCCTCATCTCCTCTCCCCTCTCCCCCTCCCTCTCTCTTCCCCACCATTACCCCAGGAAACAGTATGGTTAGTGAATCATATGTTTTCTTCCATCTCTCTCCTGACCTCTACGACGCATCTTAATCTCTGTCAGATGGATATATCTGGACACATTCATATCTGTAAATGGAAATCAGAAGATTGGCGTAAATATAACAATAATAATAATAATAATCCTCACATTTGACCCAACGCCTTATCACGTCTTCGAGATGTCTCAAAGCGCTTCACGACATACACTGTAAAGTGTAGTGACTGTGTTTTGTGGGCGAAACACGGCAGCCAATTGTGCCCAGTGACTCCCCACAAACAGTTGTGGATTGAAGTGACCACATTTTTTTTGAAGGGATTATTACCCCCGGAAAGTGATCCCCCAATTGACTAACAAGCGAGTTCCTACTGACTGCTGGGGAACACAGGTGTGTGTGTGTGTGTCTGTGCGTGTGTGTGTCTATGTGTGTGTCTATGTGTGTGTGTTTGTGTATGTGTGTCTGTGTCTGTGTGTGTGGGGAATAAGGAAACTTGCCTAAAGTTTCACCCTGACCTGAGCTCCCCGGCCGGGAATCACGCTTGCGAGGCGAGGGCTCTCACCCCCTGAGCTAAAGGGAGAGACTCCACGAGGATTAAGGCAAACAGAGCGCCAGGACAAGGACACCTCTTACCTGCTGGGTCTCGTCCCTTGGCCTCCATCAGGTAACGCAGGGCGCTGGGGTAGTCACCGAGGTGGTAGAAAGCGATGCCTGCTCTGTACATGGCTTTGAAATTGTCCTTTTGCTTTCCCAGCACCTTCAGGCAGTATTCCCGCACACGCTCATAGTTCACCAGCTCCGACTGCAGCAAACAGGCTGCCACCATCAGCCAACAGAGGGCAAGTCACAGCACTGAGACTGACTGACCCCCAGCCTCACCCATATCCCACCCACCCCATGACACCCCTTCCCCCCCCCCATCCACTGGCTCCCTATCAGCCCCACAAACTCCATGCCCCCAATCACCCAACCCTCGCCAGGCTCCACTGTTTCCCTATCACCGAACAAGTCGATTTCAAGACACTCTCACTCGTCTACAAATCCCTTCCCGCCCTGGCACCTTCCTCCCTCCCTCTCCGACCTGCTCCACCCCCCCCAACCCACTACCTGATGCCTCTGCTCGACTGGCTCTGGCCTCCCCTCGTGTCCTCTGTTCCACCCTCAGCAGCCGATCCTTTAACCACTACACCCCCAAAAGTTTGGAACTTTCTCCCTCAAACCCACCGCCTCGCCCTCTCCCCTCTTTTAGATCACGACTGAAGACGTTCCTCTTCGACTGTGCCTACAGTTGCCTCCCCCTCTTTCCCCTGGGCTCAGAGTCGGGCTCCGCCACTGTTAAGCGCTCTGAGATCCACCCCCCAAGAAAAAAATGCTGTTGCAATTGACCACGTAAACAGTGAACTAAAGTCATCACTGGCCAATTCTCTCACACACACACACACATACACAACTTACAAAGCCCTCCTACACACCTCCAGAAACATGAATCCAAATGACTGAAGCATCAGCCGTCCAACAACAACAACAACAACATCAGAAAATTAAGAGAATGAGATGGAGAGAGAGGTACAGAGAGAGGGATATATATAGACAGAGAGAGACACACACACACACACGGAGAGGTAGAGGAGGGGAGAGGGGCAGCTTCACTAACATAACAGTCTATCTCGGCGCCCTCTCTGAGGCCCCTCTGCTCCTATGTCAGCCTGGGGTAGGGGGGGGGGGGGGGGAGGAAAGAGAGCGAGAGGGAGGGGGCAAGGGAGGGGGAAGAAAGGGATGGGGGGAGAGAGAGATGGAGAGAGAGAGAGACACAGAGGGAGAGAGAGAGGAAAAGATGGGGAGAGAGAGAGGAGAGATACACAGATACAGAGAGAGAGAGAGAGAGAGATGTGGGTGGAGGTCGGTGGAGAAGAGAGAATGAGAGAGGAGAGATAGAAAGGAGAGAGAGAGATAGAAGGAGAGACAGGAGAGAGGAAGCTTACCCGCTAAACTATCATAGCAGTCTATCTCGGTGGTCTCTATGAGGCCCCTCTGCTCCTCTGTCAGTCTGGATTGGGTCCTGTTGAGTTGAGAGCCTCCCCCGATGGCTTTGAGCTGGAGGACAGCTTGGTGGTACCGGCCGATGGCCTCACGGAAGCGCTTGGTCTTGTAGCACCGATTCCCCTCAGCCTGAAACCCCACCGCTTTGCGGATCTGCTCCTCGGTGTCCCTGGGGGGCTGTCTGGGGTGGGTGGGGGTCTGTCTTCCTTCAGGACACCCCGGCGCGCTCAGGCCGACCTCCCAACTGCTCCCCGAAGCCAAGCCGACTCCCCGAGCCCCAATCCCGGCTTGTCTCTTGCCCGCCACCCCCTGGGCTTTGCCAGGGCTCTTGGCTTCCATCTCCCCCAGCGAGGGCAAAGCATTCCTGCCCCCAACCCCCACCCGACAGGCGCCCGCCGGGCACAGCAGGTAATAGGGGCGGTTTGGGTTGGGTTGTCCTATTGGGATCTGGCGAGTTGCCATCATCTGCTTTCAGCACCGCGGTCAGTGCTGTCTGACGGCTCCACACGATCCCCTCCGCACAGACACGTCCCCCTCTCTCTCTCTCTCTCTCTCCCCATCAATTAACCCTTCCTGTATTGCATTGCAATCTCTCCCCCCACCACACACACTCCTCCCCCCCCCACACACTCCTCCCCCATACAAACACACACACCTCCAACACACACTCTTCCCCCACACACACTCCTCTCCCCCCACACCCACCACACCCTCCATTAATTAACCCTTCCTGTATTGCAATCTCTCCACCCCCCCCACACACCCAAACACACACATCCCCCCCACACAAACCTCTTAAACACACATCACCCACACACATAAACACACACACCTCCCCCCACCACACACACCTACACACAACCTCCCACACACACCTCCCCCTCCTCTTAAATACACATCTTTCGCTGAAATAATAATAATCCTTGCATCTGATATAGCGTCTCATCACGTCGTCGAGACATCTCAGTGCTTCGCAGGATACGTCCCACAAACAGCTGTGGAGCAAGGGATCCATTTTATTTGGGGGGATTGTTGGGTCAGGACACCGGGAGAGAGAGAAACTACTCACTTTTTCCCCCAACAGCACCACAGATCTTTAAGGTTCACCCAAACAGGGAACTGAATACAACAATATTTAGCCCTATTTTGTAGTAATATTCTTTGCATTTGATACAGCACCTTATCACGTTGAAATGCCTCAAAGCGCTTCACAGAATATTCGATGAAATGTAGTGACTGTGTTTTGTGGGCCAAATGCAGCAGCTAATTGTGCACAGTGTCACAGCTCTTCCCAACCCCAACCAGGGATTTAATAACATTTATTAAATGTACATAGTTTGTTCCACGACATGTCAAGTGACCGTCAGGGATGATGGAAAGCAAACTGGATGGACCTTCGCGAGCAAATTCTTATGTTCTTACATATTCTTAATTGCAACAGCACGATAGCAAGGGAGGGGGAAGAGATTCAAAGCAATTTCACTGTGAAGTGTAGTGTCTGTGTGTTTACCACTTTGGAGTAACTTTAGGGGTTTGCAACTTACCTCTTTGGCTACTGAATTTGACACTGTTGGTAGCCTACAGTATGGGCTGTTCCCGACACCCCACAGAAGCTTACTCCAATTTATACGAACGTGCACGGAAATCTCTCTGCCCAGGGAGGGGTCAGGGTGGCAGCTTAGCTTTCTTGCTACCAATCACAAGGCACTGGTGGCCCAAAGTGGCTAATACATTTTAGTGGGTGAACAAACAAATACCCGTTCCACCTCAGGTGACGTGTTCAAGACATCGGGGTGTGTTAGGCAACAGAAATCACATGACAACATTAATAATAATAATCCTTGCCTTTGACCCAGCGCCTTATCCTGTCGTCAAGACGTCTCAAAGCGCTTCACAGGATACACTATAAAGTGTAGTGACTGTGTGTTTTGTGGGCGAAACGCGGCAGCCAATTGCACCCAGCAACGTCCCCACAAACAACCGTGGATTGACATGACCAATTTATTATTATATTATTTTTATTTATTTCAAAGGGATTATTACTCCCCAACTCTTCAACTTGGTGTCTATTTGCCCTCTCCCCTCCACCAACCCCCTTCCCCCCCTCCAAAGCCACCATCGAACACTCCCATTTTGGGGCATTTTAACAGGTTTCGAAGTCTAATTAGCTCAGCTCATCATTTCGAATTGCTGGGATGCAGCAGTTGAATGAATCGTGAGCAAAAAGAACACACTCGGCTAAAACCTCTCCCCCCCCCCACTCCCCCTTATGTTAAACCCTCGCTTTTAAACCGTTAACAACAACATGACATTTACGTGGCGCCTTTCACGTCGGGAGGACATCCTGAGGCGCTGGAAAGTCAGGGATTTGGAGCCGAGTTGGGGGTTGGGATCAGGAAGGGTGATGTGCATATCAAAGAGGAGGGTCTTGAGAAGGAGTGGAGGGAAGGAGTGAGGCGGGGGGGAACTGTGGGGTGGAGTTCCAAAGGGTGGGGGTAAGGTGGATCTTTCCAACATGAAGACCGCCACACACGGTATAATTTGTTGCTGCTGTTGTCTCGGTGCATTCCCCTAGTTACATTATTGCCCCCCTCCTACCTTTAACCCTCTTTCCTTCTTCCCAACACCCCCACACACCACACACATATACACACACACCACACACTTGCTGTGATGAAAACTGAACCTTTGCACATATACAAAAATAAAGCACTGTTTCGCAAACACCCCTCTGCCATGTGTGTGCGCATGTGTATGCGTACGCGTGGGGGTGGGGAGGAAAGGGGATTAAAATGGTGGTGGGGGGGGGGGCCCGGCAACGGTAAAAACCCACGGCTATTTCATTTTCCTGCCCAGCCTCTCAAACACGCTGACAGTCCCTGTGGTGTCCATCTGTGCAGCCCGGGCCTCGCTGCCGGTGCTGCTGCTGGCGATGACCCCGGGGACAACCCGCTGCCGTGAGTTGTTCTTGATGGTGACGGTGAACTCTGGCGGGGCTTTGCCTTTGGTGCTGGTCACCTGATTGTCCTGAGTGTCCGTCTCGGCCCTGCCGGGCTGGCCGAGCCTCTGCCGCAGGCTGACCTTAGCCCCGGCCGCCGATCCCAGCCTGACCGCGGCCGGGGGCGGTTTGGCCGCGATCTCGGCAAAACCCCGGGGAGTTCTCTCTCGCACGGCCTTGGGGACGGACATCCGCCTGATGGATGTGACGGCTGGCGGCGGCTTGGCTTTGGGGGCTGGGGCTTTGGGTGCCTCCTTCCTGCTGTGGCCGTTTTTTCTCTTCAACACTCCGGCGTATTGCAGTACGGCGCCCCTCTCTTCCTCCTCCTCCTCCTCCTCCTCCTCCTCATCCTCTCCCCCGCTGCTCTCCTTTTTCTCGCTCACCACTTCGCCCAATCGGCTGAAGACTCCGGTCAGCTACGCAGCAAACAGAATGTTGATAAACAATAGTAATAATAATAATCCCGGCGTGTGACCCGGTGCCTGATCACGTCGTCGAGACGTCTCAAAGCGCTTCATGGGACATGCTGTAAAGTGTAGTAACCGTGTGTTTTGTGGGTGAAAACGCGGCAGCCGATCGCGCCCAGCGATGCCCCCACAAACAGCCGTGGGTTGAGCAACCGATTTTATTCAGGGGGATTTGTCGGCCAGGATAGAGAGAGAAAGTGGAAAATGAAAGTGATCCGGCAATTGACTAACAACCGGGTTCTTACTGACTGCTGGGAAATAGAGGGGTATGTGCGTGTCTCTATGTGTATGTGTGCGTGTGTGTCTGTATGTGTGTGTCTGTATGTGTGTAGGGGGAAGTAAGGAAACCCGCCTAAGGTTTCACCCTGACCTGAAAGACCTGGGAATCGAACCCGGGTCCACTTGTTTGCGAGGCTCTAACCCCTGAGGTACAGGCTTCACACTGGTTGTTAAGCGTGTATTTTGTGGCCTCAACCCTTTGAAACTCCATCCCACAAACCCTCCGCCTCGCCCCCTCTTGCCTCCTTCAAGGCCTGTCTCAAGACCCTCCCGGACCTTTGGTCACCCTCCTACCCCCACCCTCCCTTACCCCAACCACCCCCAGCCCAACTCGGCTGCAAATCCCTGACCGTCCAGCGCCAATGTCCTGTCCCGCCACCACCCCACCCCCACCCTACCTCCCTCCACTTTCACCCACCGAGCTCGGGTGCCCAGCTGCTGATTTTTGTGGACAGTGGAAACAGTTTTGTTTCGCTCCAAGCAAACCCACCTTGCTTCCTGTCGTGGTGTCAGCTTTGGTCTCAGCCCCGAGCCTATTGAAGACTGACATTCTCGGCAAAGCTTGAGCTGGAGGGAGCAAAAAGGAAGGAAAAGAAAATGTTTCCACACAAGTGATTTACACAAACTTTCTGCTTCAAATATCTCCAAAACATATAGTGGGAATGAGGAGTGAGAAGGGAGTAGGGTTCAGTTAACAGGACCTAAAAAGGGAGTTGGTTGAGCAGTCTACATCAGTTGAAGCACAATTACATTTCACGACACAGATTTGCCCAATTGGCCCTCAATTTGCCTCAGTTTTGAAAGCCCGAAGATCTACTCAGTTCCATGGAGCTTCTAACTCCATTTTGTCTTGAAATTGAAAGGGGCAAAATAACTGGCAGGTCAGTTTGAAAATAGCTGCCAAAAAAGAAACAGAGGGGAGGTGAGGAGAATTTTTTTTTCAACGTAGAGAGTTGTTGGGATCTGAAAGGCTGGTGGAAGCCGATTCCATAACAACAGACAAGTTTGGGGAGGACAAGTTTGCAGGGGTGTTGATCAGGGCTTTGGGGAGAGCGCGGGGGAGTGGGGTTGAGCCTGCACAGACATGATGGACCAAATGCCCTCCTTCTGTCCTGTATAATTCTATGACCTTGATTTAGAAGGCGGTGAGGATGTGGAGGGGCTGCAGTTCTTAACAAGAACAGGCTTTCAAATGAAACCTGCATTGTAGGATTTGTCACAGTTGAGAGATAGAACCATAGATACGATACAACACAAATTTCTATTTACACATCGCCTTTCACGTCAGAAGCTTTCACTTTTCCATAGCATTCTTGGTTGGGCACCCGAGCTGGGAGGTGAGGGAAGGTGTGGGGGCGGGGGAAAGATGGCCGAAAGTGCGGGCAGTAGAGGTAGGTCTTGAGATGGACCTTGGATGAGGTGAGAGAGGGAGAGAGCGACGGAGGGAGCGAGAAGAAGGGAGTGAGCGTGGGTAGAGGTAGCGAGGGAGGGATTGGGCAAGGGAGAGAGCAAGCGAGGGGGGGAGTGAGCGAACGAGGGAGGGAGGAAGGGAGTGGGAGGGATTGCGGGACAGAGGGTGCACCTCAAAGCAAAATAGTCTTGGGGGTGAGTTTCGGGAGAGAATCTGGACCTTCGGGATCTAACATAATATCAATAATAATCCTTGCATTTGACACAGCGCCTCATCACGTCTTCAAGACGTCCCAAAGCGCTTCACAGGACATACTGAGTGTAGTGACTTTGTTCACACGGGCGAAACATCAAGATAGGGAACAGCACTGTGTGAAGGCTTCGGGATGCTAGGTGCTGTAATCGGGAGGTTTGTGGGGTTATGGGGGGGGCGGGTGGGGTGTGGGGGAGAGCAAGAGGAGGCTATGGCGGTGTCAAGATACTTAAGGCAGAAGGTTAATCTGCATTAGAGCACATGAGGTGTTAGCATGCAGCAGTGATCTGACAGTTATCAGCATGTGATCAGTTTACCTTGTGTGGCTTGCTGTTGGAGAATTCTCTGAGTTTTGGCAGTGATCCCCTTGGGCATATTGATTATGTATTTACCTTCCATTTCCGCAGTCACACGACGACGCTTTGCTGGGCCATCGGGGCTGGGATCGGCTGGTCTGGGCAGAACTGGGCACAGAGAGAGAGAGAGAGGGTCGAGATGTCAGCTCACGCACGCCACCCACACAGAACACATACACGCACACAAAAATACACAGCACACACACATACACACACAGAGACACAAACAAATACAACAACAATTTTCACTTGTACAGCAGAACGCAGTGTAAAGTGACCACCGTGGCTGCAGTGTAAAGTGACTGGTCTTTGCCATACCTGCTTTCTTTGTAGCCAGTTTGTTGGCCACGGTGACAGAGATCTTTGATGTGCTGGTCTCAGGTCTACGGGCGGGGGTGGAGGGAGGGGAATCTCTGCGCAAACTGTTAGCGATCATCCGAGAGGCGGCTAAATCCAAAACACAAAGCGAGAGACATAGGTCTATGTTAACACACAGCAAGAGCTGCAGTGGCTTTGTGGAGTCTCTGTCTGTAGCTCAGGGGTTAGACTCCTCGCCTCACAAGCCAGAGGACCTGGGTTCGATTCCCTGGCAGGTCAGGTCAGGGCAAAACTTTGGGCAAACTTCCTTACTCCACACACACACGCAAACAAACATGCACATAGACATACACACACACACACATGCACCTAGCAGTAAGTAGGAACCTGGTTGTTAAGTCGATTAACAGATTGGTTTCCAGGGGGATAATAATCCCTTCAAAATAATAATAATTTGGGTGCTTACTCCACGACTGTTTATGGGATGTCACTGTGCTGCTGCGTTTCGTCCATAAAAAACAGTCACTACACTTTACAGTATATTCTCTGAAGCGCTTTGAGATGTCTCAACGACGTGATAAGGCACTATATAAAAATGCAAGGATTATTATTATTATTATCATTGGTGTTCATCCATTCCGTGCCTGTCCATCCTCCATCCTATGCGAATGGCCTCTATGTTATTGCAAGTCTGGTGGACAAAAGCAGCAAAACAGTCTCAGCCCAGCCCTGATCACACAGGCCCCGCCCTGACCCTAGAGACCATATCCGGGGCGAGTGATGAAGCTACTTACGAGAGTTGGCTGCTCTTTTTAATTCAACCTGTAAGTTGCTCTGATTGGAGCCAATGGACTCTGTGGCCTCCTTGGCGAGCTCCTGGAACAGACAGGAGCAGGTTAAACATCGCCACGCCTCTCGCCCTCACGTAGTTACAGCAGGGGGACTGGGAGTTAAAGAGTTAAGGCCACAGTGTATCCGGTAGCGAGTGGGAGGACTTCAGGAGGACCTCAAGAGGATGTTCCAAGGCGCCGGACAGTCAAGGATGGTGGTTGGGATCAGGAGGTGGGGGAGGGCAGGGACGGTGGGGGTAGGAGGGTGACCAAAGGCGAGGTCATAGGGGATGAGGTGGAAGGACTGTGGGATGGAGTTCCAGAGGGTGGGGGCAGGGAGGCTGAAGGCCCGACTGACGATGGTGGGGTGGGCAAGGCGGGGGACGTGAAGCAGGCCGGAGCCTGCTAAGTGGAGGGAGTGGACAGGTTGGTAGGGGGTTAGGAGGTCACAGAGGTAGGGGGGTGCAAGGCAGGGTATTGAGGTGTGTTTGTGTGTATTCATTAGGATGAGACTGAGAGCCAGCCCAGGCCAAACGGCCACTTTCTGTGATGTAAACTGCTACAGTTCTCACTGACCAGCTCTGAGGCCGGCTCAGGTAGGAATGGGCTCACCACCACCCTTCCCTCACGTGACCAACAGGGGGGAGGCAATGAGCTGCTGGATACGGAATTTCTGCAGCTCACAAACACATGAGCAATGAGAGCAAAGACTGTATCCAGTCGTGTATCTAACAGATCGATACACCAGCTCTAACGGTCCAACCACAAGAACAACAAGTTGTAGCGCCTTTCACAAAGGATAAGGTCAAGGTGGCCTGTGGACCCACGGCGGTTACCTTTATAGCGCTTGTGTTATGGAATATAGGATCAGGAGGAGGCCACTCAGCCCCTCGAGCCTGTTCCGCCATTCTGTAAGAGTATGGCTGATCTGTAGCTCAACTCCAATTACCCGCCTTTGTCCCCTATCTCTTGAAACCCTGACCTGATCCGCCTCAACAACAACAACAAAATTACATTTATAGAGCGCCTTTCAGGTCGGGAGGACGTCAGGGGTGAAAATTGGATCCACAGCATACGCATTGCAATATACTTGTGGGTGTGTGGTGTGTGCGTGTCGTGTGTTTGTGTGTATGTGGTGCGTGGATGGTGTGTGTTGTGTGTGTGTGTAACTCTGTCTGTCCGGCGCTTTGGGTCGTCCTCCTGACGTGAAAGGCGCTATACAAATGTAATTTTGTTGTTGTTGTTGTAAACATAATCCCTTGAGAGCTAACCTGTTTATGTACCAGCTTTGCGTGCTTGAGAATGGCAATGATATCCCCCACGACAGTGATGCCCAATTCGTGCACGATGTCTTTCGTGAGGTCCATGAGCATATTTTTCTGTATCCTGTGTGCAAAAGAGCTCTCTCTCTCAATCTGCTGTTGTTGGACAGAAGGTTACCAAGAACTTGCATTTATTTACACAGCGCCCCTCATGCAAGATAGCATTCCAGAGCGCTTGACAGTGGCGTAGCACGACATCAAGCCAGGGGGAGAGGTGACCGTAGGCACTGTCGAAGAGGAAGCTCTTCGGACGAGACCTGAAGATGGGGAAGGAAGAGGCAAGGCGGCAGAGGGAGGATAGAAGGAGAGTGTGACAGAGTTTTGGGCCGCAGCGGCTGAAAGTGCGGCCGCTGAAGGTGGAGCGGATGAGCAGGAGTCGGAGCCAGTCAAGTGGAGGCAGCGGGTTGTGGGGTGGAGTGGAGAGTGAGTAGGTCAGAGAGGCAGGCAGGTGCCAGGACGTGAAAGGATTTGAAGCCGAGTATTAGGATCGTCTTCAAATCGACCCATTTAGCAGATTGGTACATTCTCTGCAAATTGTTTAAGACTGACGTTGCTGTGCGCAATTGGCTGCCGCGTTTCGCCCATGAAATATAAAGTTGAGACGCGATAAGGCGCTACATCAAATGTAAGCATTATTATTATAATAAATGCGTTCGGTGGCATTTGCTGTGAGATGTAGAGGTTTTCAAATAAGGATACCTCACTGCCCCCAACCGCCCCATATGGCCGTGTGTACGACTTATTCTGCGTGTGATTTACACGCTTTGTCGCTCCAAGAACTTTACCTGTTGTCCACGAAACTAATGGCGTAGTTGACAGCTGGCCCTGGGGGTATACCAGCGTCTGTGAAAAACTGGATCCATTCCGACGTAGCTGTAATACACACACACACATCAATAAGTCAAAGTGTGACAATAACTTGCCAAGTCAAGGAATAATCCTTGCATTTGTGGAGGTCGTCATCAGTTGTTCAACTGAGCACCCCCCCCCACACACCCTCACCTAAGCTTCTCTGAAAACCTAAACTGCCAACAAAGTCATCCCTCGATTGGTACTATAATAATAATCCTTGCATTTGACATAGCGCCTTATTGAGACGTCTCCTCAAAGCGCTTCACAGAATACACAGAATGCTCCGTGCCGCTACCCACCCTGAGGAGCGCTGTGCAAACACAAGTCATTGTTGTCATTGTAAAGTGAACTGACTGTATATTTTGTGGGCGAGTGTTCCTTTTCATGAGGGTGATTCACAACAACAGCAATTGGCCCCTCGCGTAGGGTAGTTCAGCCCTATAACTCAAGAAGCAGCTCGAGGCTGTGCTGGGAGGTCAGTCGGGGGAGAGTTCTGGAAAAATGAGATCAAACGGGTTGAAGGGCTTTCATCATCTGAACCTGATTTATGATCTTGTGTTGGGACAAAAATAGCCGTGTGACAGGAGGTGATGTGGTTGGACAGAGATGCTTTGCTTACACTGTTCCAACCCCGAATGCAAATACATAGATATCACAAGCAAAGCGGGCAGTGGTGCACTCTGCTATCCAAATGGAAAACCTTTGAATATTCAAATCAATTATTTTGGACGTGGATTGTCTATTGCATCCTGGATAATGGAAGGCTCGATTTCGGCCACTCTTGGAGCCCAGCAACTGTGCAGCAAAATGTGGGCAATATTTAGTGGCTGAAGGTCAGATCAGCAACTGGGAACCCGACTGACGTGTTGGGACAGAAATAGCACCAGATCAGTGAGGGAGGAAGTGAGAGAGAGAGTGTGTGAGTGAGTGAGTGAGTGAGTGGATGGGTGGATGGGGGAGTGAGAGTGAGGGAGTGAGTGAGAGTGAAGTGGGCGAGTGAGACAGTGTGGTTTAAGTGAGCGGACTGTATTTTACAACAGCTTTCACGGCAGGCAGCTTCCTACTGCTAATCAATATTATTGAGAATACTTCTGAGCCAATTGCGTACAAGAGTGTCCCACAAACAGTTGTGAATCCAGTGACCCAATCTCTTTTGTTCTTAGGGATTATTACCTCCCGGGAAAGCGATCCACCGATCGTCTAATAGCCGGGTTCCTACAGCTAAACAGAGTGTGTGGAGTAAGCGTCACATTCTGTCTCTGCCCAGGATTCGAACCCAGTTCCTCTCGCTTGCGAGACGAACGCTCTAAGCGCCGCGCTACAGGGCTCCACTTGAAGGCGTCAGTCAGCGGGGGCTCCACTCAGCTCGTTTGCACCACGACAGCGGATTCGCCCCATCGTTCGCAGCTCCAAAAGGTCACTGATCTTGGGCAGGCGTGGTATCGGCAGCAAATGGCTGTTCCCTGGCTCCGGGCCTCCTGCCCTCGATCGCCACAAAACATCCCCTCGACGCCGCTGCTCGGCAGCGACTCCTCAAAGAGTTGATGTTTTTTTACAGCTCATCACGTGGGGCAGTCGTGCCACCCCCCCCACAACCCTCCCCCCCCCCCAGCGAGAGACGCCTCAAAGCGCTTTGCGGGACACGCCGTCGAGTGGTAGTGACGGCAGTGGGTGAAACCCGGCAGCCGATCGCGCCCGGCGATGGCCCCAAATAATTACTATTATTTATAAAAAAATTATTAATCTTTATTTCCAGGGAGTTTCCTGCCCCACCCCTCACCCCCCCACAACACCCCTCACCCACAACACCCCTCACCCACAACACCCCTCACCCACAACACCCCTCACCCCCCACAACACCCCTCACCCCCAACACCCCTCACCCACAACACCCCTCACCCACCCCGCGGGGCTTGTGATGGCTCTGAGCTCAAGGCCGAGGCTCCTCCACAGTCTGTGCCGAGGCTTCGCTATCCTCGAGGCCTAAAGGCCTGGGACTGTGGTAGAAAGTCAGGCCGAGCCTCAGCCCCTCAGCCGCTCACACCTTCTCTAACCCCCTCCCTCGCCGGACCCTCTCTCTCTGTCTCTGTGTCTCTCACTCACTCACCGAGAGTCACCGACACCATCTTTGTCCCGCGGCAGCTTCACTTCCGGAACCACCAACCGGAACTCGACGGCCCAGCAGCCCCGTCACCATGGCAACGAGGCATCCCACTCCCTTAGCAACGGGGCATCCCACTCCCTTAGCAACGGGGCATCCCGCTCCCTTAGCAACGGGGCATCCCGCTCCCTTAGCAACGGGGCATCCCGCTCCCTTAGCAACGGGGCATCCCGCTCCCTTAGCAACGGGGCATCCCGCTCCCTTAGCAACGGGGCATCCCGCTCCCTTAGCAACGGGGCATCCCGCTCCCTTAGCAACAGGGCGTTTCACCCACAAAACACACAGTCACTCCACTTTACAGCGTATCCTGTGAAGCGCTTTGAGACGTCTGGGAACGTGATCAGGCGCCGGGTCAGACTCCGGGATTATGGCGACAGAGCAGCGGACACCCACACAGTGACCCCCATCACAGCAGCCACCGAGTCTTTATAGTCAAACTCCAGCTACAAGTGTGTGTGTGTGTGTGGCTCTGTGTGTGTGTGTGTGCGCGGCTGTGTGTGTGTGTGCGGCTGTGTGTGTGTGTGCGGCTGTGTGTGTGCGGCTGTGTGTGTGTGCGGCTGTGTGTGTGTGTGTGCGGCTGTGTGGTGTGGCTCTGTGTGTGTGTGGTGTGTGTGCGCGGCTGTGTGGTGTGTGTGTGTGGTGTGTGTGTGCGGCTGTGTGGTGTGTGTGTGCGGCTGTGTGTGTGCGGCTGTGTGTGTGTGGTGTGTGTGTGCGGCTGTGTGTGTGTGGTGTGTGTGTGCGGCTGTGTGTGTGCGGCTGTGTGTGTGTGTGTGTGCGTGTGTGAGCGCTTGGCTTGAGTGACAGGCTTAGCTGACATCTTCCTCCGCCCCTCCCTGGGCTGCGTTTGTTGGTTTTCTTTTTTAAAATCAAGCTATGGAATCGCGCGTCAGATGAAAATGTGCTCTTTATTATCGAACGCCCTCGCGCCACATCCGCACAGATTGTATTGCTTGCAAACTGCGGGATCGGGATAAGAACAGATACCAGGAAAATCCTCCGATAAACCAGTCACAATCGGGCCATGGATTATTTATCCATCTATAAAATGACACAACGCAGATTAGAATATAACAAAAGCTTTTCAGTAACATTTTACTGTTCAAAACGTTGACCATTTAGGTTAACTTGGGAACAAGGCTTTTAGACCTTTCCACCAGCTGACGGGAACAGCCTGCAAACAGTTTCACTTCACAGTAAAAAAAACCTCCAATTATGAAGTGATTTGATGATATACGGCACTACAATCACGTGCAAAGATTAGTTTCGACCCCAAAATAAAGTCAATCCCCTTCACAGTATATTCTGTGAAGCGCTTTGAGACGTCTCGAAGACGTATGGCGCTGTGTCAAACGCAAGGAATATTATTATTATAGTAAGAGCCAGTGTCGCTTGCAAAAGGGGATGCAAAATGTAACCTATTGTACATAGCTTCAGCTTCATTGCGATATGAAAAGTTGCATTTTTTTTGCAAAGCGCAGTGTTGTCGTTGCTCACTGACTGATTGCCTGTTTTTGCCAGACACAATCCTTCCATTAGATGCGATACATTACCACGTCAAGACTTAACGCTTAAAACACTTCACACGTTTTTTTTTCACATTTAAGGCGGTTGCCACTGTGTATTTTGTGGGCAATCATTGCAAGCAGTTTGCACACACAGCGATGTCCCACAACACAGACACGTCACAGAACAGTAAGTGTCGTAGAAATATAGAAGCAGGAGGCTATTCATCCCCTCGAGCCTGTCCCACCATTTTATAAGATCACGGCTGATCTGTATCTCAAATCCAGTTACCCACCCTTGCTCTGTATCCCTTAATACCCTGACCTAACAATTTTTTCTTGGGAGTATTGTTGGCTCGGTCACCAGGAGAGAGAGTGAGAAAGACAGAGAAAAAGATAAGTCAGCACAGAAGGAGAACTAGAAAATCTCACACCCTAATCACCTAATCAAGTGTGCAAGTCAAGGCTGAAGAGATTAGACAAAGAAAAGCCACACACACAAACACACTTTCCTTCCCAAACTTCTTTTTAATCACAATTTCACACTTCGCTACAAATAATAAAACAGGAGGGGATAACTCGCAGTGCTGAGAATGGATCTGCGCAACACACAAACACAAAATAATAATAATCAGCATTTTTCAAATAAAATTGTATAAAAATGGACAAATTCAAAGTCATAGTCATTCGAAGTACACATCAGTTCTTTACAACTCCTCATTCCAGGTCGGTTCATGCAGCTGCCGTTTTGTCTACTTAAAACAGCTTTTAACAGCGTAGAAGGTTAAATTATGAACTGGGATCAAAAAATAAACCACAATTCACATCTCTTCCCCCTCCCCCACCTCGTATATTACTGTAGATTCTTCAGCTTTGGGTGGTTCGGGTAAGAGGTGTCAATGTACAAAAAAAAACACAAGACATTGAATGTTTTTCTTTTTATAAATAAAAAAAATTAAAGTACCAGCAATTAAAGCCCACATCTCCTCTGCAGGGGCCGAGCAGGAGAGCCAAAATGGAGGTGCAACTCAAAAGGAATCTCTCTCTCTCTATATATATATATGTATATATATGTATATATACATAAAAAAAAGTCTAACCCAAACTGAAACAACTCTCTTCGCCCGCTATTGAAAATGAGCGACGGGTTCAGCTGATGCTTTCCTACAAAGCTTAAAGACGGTTTGTATATGGCCAGGTTTCAGGATGTTTAGGAGGCAAAAATATTCAGAGCTTAAGCCACGCTTGAATTAAACACTAGTTTTTCTGGGAGGACAAGAAATGGCGGCTGGAAAACCTGAAATAAATAAATGTTAAATCAAGGGGGGAAAAAAAAAAAGCTGCAAATCTATGGGAGGTGACTCGGAATTTCTTCTAAGTTGAATCGATTATCATGCTATCAATTTTCAGCAGTTATGCTGTTTTTTAATATAAATAATATATATATATAATACTTCACGACTGATGACGTGACATTAGGACTCCAAACTTGACATCCTATACTGGGGGCGTAAAGTAGCAGAGCCAGGTGGCAAATGGAGTAGAAGTTGCATTTTCCATTTTACGCTCTACATATAGGCTCCAGACAAGACCAGGATTAAAGGAAAATAGATTAAAATTAAAATAGAAAAGTGTGGTTTGTTTCAAAAACAAACAAGATCGATTTCCGTTGGGAAATAATATCTGGGGGATACAGTATATAGCTTGGGACCCGACATGTCAAGCGACTGCTAGGATTGTGGAAAGCGAACTGGATGGACCTTGGTCTTCTTTCGCCAGCAAATTCTTATTATTCCTACAACGAAAAATGGTGACTGGTGCACGCCCCAACACTGCATTTAAAGCCAGTCATTAACTTGCCTCAGCACTCGGATCGCAGTGAGTAAGAGACGTAATGTAATCCCACCAGAATTTTACGACGCTAAATAAAACATTCCTCCTTCACCAATCCTTCCACTCCCCGCCCCCCCCCCCACCCACATCAAAAATAGAACTGATACAGACACCTGAAACAGATCGCAGCATTTTATGCCAAACAATGGATTATTATAATCTTCATAAAGTTTATACGGGGGGGGGGGGGGAATGGGGGGGACGGGAATATCTTAAACGCTTAAATCCCAAACTCACTAACAAACAGAAAGGAAGGTTTCAAAATTAACATCAGGCTCCTTAGAAAATCTCTTTTCTTTCTTTTCTAAACAAGTTATAAAACGTCCGATATGAGACGAGACGCTGCCTTACTCTGCGCTGTTGACGGGCGACTGTTCCCGGGAGCCTGACCAGGAGCGGGCTGACTTGCGGGGGGAGTCGGACGGGGATCGGGATGGGGGCGGCTGCCGTCGTCGCTCTCCCTGGGGGGAGCGGGACTCGGCTCGGGTGCGTTGGGCGACACGGAGCGGGGACCTGCTGGGGGAGCGCGAGCGGCTCCGAGACCGGCTGGCAGACCGGGACACACTCCGGGAGCCCTTGTTACTCCGGGATCTGGTGGAGGTTCTGGAGCGGGATCTGGTCCAGGATCTAGAAGAGAGAGAGAGAGTGTGGGGGAGTGGGGGATGACAGAGAGATAGAGAGAGAGAGAACCGAGTGGGAGGGAGAGAGAGAGAGAGAGTGGGAGGGAGGGGAGAGGGTGGGGGAAGAGAGGGAGAAGAGATCACTTTGGGTTAAACAATGATTCACATTTTTTTTTAAACGCCTTTCACATCAGGAATCCTTCCCAAGACTCTTGGTTTAACATCCCATTAATATTAAACAAGCCATCACACAAATCTCCACGATTTGACGTTAAATGCTGTTCTCTGTCCAGCGCCTTGGGACGTCCTCCCGATGTGAAAGGCACTGTACACATGTAATCTTGTTGTTGTTGTTGTAATAATAATCCCTGCATTTGATCATGTTGTCGAGATGACTCAAAGCGCTTCCCGGAATATACTGTAAAGTTAATGGACTGTATATTTTGTGGGCGAAGTGTGTCCCACAAACAGTTGTGGATTGAGTGATGATTATTATTAGTATTTTTTTTGAAGGGATTACCTCCATAGAAAGCGATTCCCCCAATCAACTAACAACTGGGTACCCACTTACTGCTTGGTAAACAGTGTTATTATATATAGAGTAAGGAAACTTCCCTAAGGTTTTGCCCTGACCCACCCGGGAGTTGAACCCGGGTCCTCTTGCTTGCGAGGCGAGGCGAGGGCTCTAACCACTGAGCTACTGGACTCTGAAATCAATCAGGTCACAAGGCTGTGTTGCCATTGCATTACCTGCGATGTCTAGACTCCTCAATCAGCTGAATCCGCCTTCCATTGATCTCTTTGCCATCCAGCTTCTCAATGGCACTTTTCAAGTCGCTGTAGGAAGCAAACTCCACAATACTATAGGGGTGTGGGGTAGAGAGATCGAGACATTACATAACAATAACAACAACTTGCACTTATGTATTGCCCCCTCACCCAAGATAGCATCCCAAAGCGCTTCTCACTGAGCCAGCGCAGCTGTACTCAACAAGTCTGAAAGTTTTCCCCATTCACATGGGGGTAGGGAATCTTCCCACTCAGCTCCTGTTAACCCTGCAAGCTAAGGTAGGGTGGTCTTATGGTGGACAAGCAGTGGTAAAACTTGCCAGACAGCGCTTTCAATGGCCAAGCTATGGAGCTGGTTAGACTCCGGCAGTTGCCCCAATGTATACCCAATCATTGGTTAACAAGTCATTGTATTTGGCGGTGGGGGGCACGGGAGAAAGGAGAGAGGGTGGAAAGTAGGGAGAAGAGAGAGAAGATGGGGAGATAGAGGAGGGGGAAGAGAGGGGGGGTGGGGGGAAGAGAGAGGCAGAGAGTGAAGGGAAGAGCGGGGGAGAGAGATCCAGTTCCTCACCTTCAAAGCAGTCCATAGCCCTACCTCTGCGACCTTCCAACCTGCCCACTGACTCTGCTCAGCGGGCTCCGGCCTGCTTCACGTCCCCCGCCTCGCCCACCCCACCCTTGGAGGTCCGGCCTTCCGCCACTCTGCCCCCACCTTCTGGTACTCCATCCCGCAGTCCCTCCGCATCGCCCCCTCCCTTGCCTCCTTCCAGACCCTCCTCTTCGACAGTGCCTTCAGTCACCCTCCTTCCTCCACTGTCCTCCACCCTCTCTGACCCCCAGCTCGCGTCCGAATCACTGATTTTCCAGCGCCTTGGGACGTCCTCCTGAAGTGAAAGGGGCCGTGTAAATAGAATTGGAGAAGAAGATCTCCCCTGTTCTTACCCTTCATTATTGTGAGTTCTGTGAGCATCAGTGAAGGTCACTTCACCAGCCTGGCGCATGATGTCCTTCAGATCCTAGAGACAGGAACAATCATTACAAGACAGTCCCCAGCACAGCAGGCAGCACATTGTACAGAGCTCATTGATGAGACAAGCTCAGACTGGGGATGTCAATGGTGTAGCTTAAGCTGATGGTAATTAACCGGAGGTGGGGAGAGCGAGAGAGAGAGAAAAAGTAATCTGGAGTTGAATTGAAAGCTAGCACCTTTTTACTACAGTTGCCACTAAATAAGGAGAACTAGCGACACCTAGAGGCTAGACAACATGCTCAGCTTTCATAGCTTTCGGGAGAAGAGATGAAACTGGAAGAATTAACCAAAAAGTGAGTAGTTTATCCCCCAGTTAATGATTCGCACACAATTCCCCACACTCTTCTCCAGCGCCTTGGGATGTCCTCCCGATGTGAAAGGCGCTGTACAAATCCAATTTGTCATTGTTGTTGTGTTCTGTCCAGCCCCTTTGCAGCTCATACACATCCTTTTGCCTCGATCAACACAGCCACTGACTCAACAAACAACAACTTGCACGTAGATCGCTCCCGTCACGCAGGGCAACGTCCCAGAGCGCTTAACAAACAGCTCGGTAACAGACTCACTAACAAACAGCCTGGCCTGACTCGAGCCCCAGGGAAGTTGCAGATGGGACCAGTTTGAACTTCTGGATCCAAAAACTGAATAAAACAAAGGGATGTTTAATCTTTATCCATCTCCAGGGCTATGTATTCCTCCGCCCGTTCTCTCCAGTTGAGTCCTGTAGCTCAGTGGTTATAGAGAACGCACTTCGCAAGCGAGAGACCTGATTTCGATTCCCAGCAGGGCAAAAGGTTGGGCAAATTTTCTTACTGCACACGCCCCTGTTTACCTAGCAATAAGTAGCAACCTGGTTGTTAGTCGATTGTCAGATCGTTTTTCCGGGGGTAATAATTGCATCAAAAAAATATCAGCCACTCAATCCACGACTGTTTGTGGGGCTCTGCTGTGTACGATTGGCTGCCGTGTTTTGCCCATAAAGTATACGGTTAATTCACTTTACAGTATATTTTGTGAAGCGCCTTGAGACGTGATAAGTCGCTATATCAAATGCAAGGATGATTATTATTGTTATTATTATCAGAAGACATCCCCATTCTGTACTTGAAATAAAAACAAAAGGATTAAAAAAAAGGAAAAACACCACCACTACATCGAAAACAAAGATTATGTTTTAAATTAATTATCATTTTCTTATCTTCCACACACAAAAAGAATTAGCCCCTGGGCTAATCTAACATTGTTTTCCCGACCGTTTAAACAAGCTTGGGCAACCCTTCCTTCCATGCCCCCTATGCCGCGATGCAGGGTGGCACCCTCTGAATACAATACCGTTTAGAGTACAGCTGGTGGTGGCATTGCCCTCTTTCAGGGGGCACCGAATGTGCCCGCTTGCCCAGAGTCCTGGGCTGGGTGTAGGCTGGGTTAAGCTCCCGACCAGCCTCCGACCGACCTCGATATTTTTTTCATAACAACCGCAGGACTGGGGAAAAGCCTCGGGCTGTTGGTCGATGCCATCTGGGACCCCCAGGGCCAGTACAACCCAGACCCCCGACATCCAGCTCTTTGCCTGATTAACCTTGGGAGCCGACTGTCAATTTATTCAACACGAGATCGTTTTCCAGATACAGGGCGCGACATGAGTAAAGGGAAGTCCTGGTCAAAGACCTGACGACAAGCTGCTAAACAAAGGTTTCGTAGTTTAGTCAAAAGATTGTCAGCGCCTGGCAAAGGCTGTTATTTTTTCTTTCATTCCCAGTCAATGTTATTGCACGCGCACACACACTTGCTCGCACGCACACCCACACGCGTTCACACATTCAGTCCTCAACTGCTCTACACTGTGTGTGATTGGCTGCCACGTTTCACCCACAAAATATACGGTCACTCCACTTTACTACAGTCTATCTATACTACAGTGAAGCGCTTTGAGACGTCGCAACGACGTATCAAATGCAAGAATTATTATTATTATTACACGACTACAACATAAATTCGGGATTGCTCCTAATCTCTAGAGAGTAATTTTACTGCTGTTTGCGTCATATCTCTTTCCTGCTCCCCCCATACCCCCAAATACACACACATACACACACACACCAAAAAAAACTCTCATTGAGGACTTTTCTTGTTAGATTATTTTTTTCAAAAAAAAATGCAGCGTTCCAAAGCAGACTCATATTTTCAAACAGAAAAAAACTATATATTATATAACCCACAACAACAAAGAGGAAACAAGCTAAACAAATAAATAGCCATTGAGCCTGGCTCAGGTGGTAGCACTGTCCACAGAGTCAGAGGTTGTGGGTTCAAGCCCCCATGTTAGGACACAGTCTGGATTGATGCTCCAGTGCAGTGCCGGAAACGTACTGCATTGTTGGAATGTGCTGTCCATTTCTAATTATGCCTTGGGATCTTTAACATCCATCTGGGCACAGATAGGACCTGGGTTTAATGTCAGAATGCAACACATGGACCTAGCAATGCAGCACACACCTTCCCTGACGCTGCCCTACCCAAGGGGGCACTACATAAATGCAAGTTGTTGTTGTCGTCGGGGCGCCAGCCTAGACAAGTTCAAAGTCCTGACTCGGGGGCTCGAACCCACAACTTTCACTCGGAGGTCAAAGTGCTATGGACTGAGCCTGGCTGACAGCAACAAGGGGGGAGGTTTTTCCACACACCCCCCCGAGGCTTTTAAGAGTGATACAAACATACGAAAAAATAGCAAGGCTTCAAAACTGAAGTTGAGTTGTAATGCATGGGTGGATGGGGGGAGGGGGGGCGGGGAGAGAAACAGCGAGCTTACCAATCACTGGTGAGGGGGGGGGGGGATTCAGAACAAACCATAAGTGGGTCACTCTCGGGGACCCCTTAGACACTGGCACAAGTTGTATTGGCACAGATAGCTGGGCACGGACCACCCACCCACCCTGTAAAATTGCCCAAATACTCAATGATAGTGGCGGAGGGGGGCTTGGAGAGGAAAATAAATGCTCGTCACAAATGACACAGGCGGGGATTTTAGCGACGATTTAGGTTTGTGAAATGATGGGTGCGAGCTATCATTTAGCCTCACCACAAAAAAAGCTGTCTCCGCTACAATGAGAGGAATTTTAAATGGTTAACAGACGCCTAACGCTACTGTGTGTAGGACGAACGCACCTGCCAACTGACACGGGAAGAGAGGTTCTTGACGATCAGGCGATACTCTGTACGCACGGGCGGCCCGTATCTGCAAATGGAGAGCAGGGAGCGTGCGTCACTCATGGGGATAATTAACCCTTTCTTTTCTCCCCCTCACACCCCCGCTCGAGCTTTTCAACTGAAGCAGGAACGCCGCTAGCGTTCAGAGGCATGGGACGGGACAGGAAGAAGGGATCTCAACAGATCTTCAAACCGCAAATATTTAAATATTTAAGCTGTACTGTGGAGTCCCTGTAGCTCAGGGGTTAGAGCACTTGCCCCACAAGCGAGAAGACCTGGGTTTGATTCCCGGCCAGGGCAAAAAGTTGGGCGAAAGTTTCCTTACTCCATGCACACACATGCCTCTGTTTCCCAGCAGTAAGTAGGAACCTGGTGTTAGTCAACTGGCGGATTGCTTTCTGGGGGTAATAATTCCTTCAAAAAACCTTTTTAAAAAAATATGATTTGGTCACTCAATCCACGACTATTTTGGGGACGCTGCTGTACGCGATTGGCTGCCATGTTTCGCCCACAAAATATACAATCAATTCACTTCACAGTATATTTATTCTGTGTACTCCATCTCTTCCCCACTCTCTCAATCTTCCATCCCATTTCTTCCCTCCATGCCCCCTTATCCGCCCCATTACTCTCACCTCTGTCCGCTGCTGCGCTCGGTCCTGGATCGCTGGTAGTTGAACCTGCTGCCAAATCTGCCGCCTCTCCGAGGAGGGGCCTTAGCCAGCTCCACCGTGATCCTGGGGAATATAAAAGGAACCAACTTGCTTTTATATGGCGCCCTTCACCCAAGGTAGTGTCCCGGAACCTACACGGAACTTAACCCTCGATCTCTAGGCACGGTCTCTAAAGAAGAATTCTCTTCGTAACCCAGTTGTTAGTCGACTGGCGGATCGCTTTCTGAGGTTAATAATCCCTTTTAAAAAGAACACACGTGGTCACTCAATCCACGACCGTTTGTGGGGACATCACTGTGCGCAATTGTCTGCCGCGTCTCGTCACAAAATACACCGCGAATTCACTTGACAGTCTATTCCATGAAGCTCTTTGAGACGTCTCGAAAACGTGATAAAGTGCTGTGTCAGACGCAAGGATTATTTTTATTATTATACACACGGCAAGGACTCACCTCTCTCGGAACAGCTCTTTACCATTCAGTTCGTAAACGGCATCATCTGCGTCACGGGGATCATCGAATTCCTAAACAGCACACACAGTAAAATCCTGTGAAGCGTTTTGGACGAGCACCTCAGCACTGGTGAGCACGCAACGCGTATCGTCCTACTTCATGCCTTCCCCACCACCACCCGTGCTCTCCACCCAATTATCGGCAAGTCGGAAGGCTTTGAACCCCGCTCTTTGGGTTCCATCCCGCAGTCCTTCCCTCCACTTGTTCACGTCTATCTCTCTCTCGGTCATCTCTCTCCTTTCTTCCCCACCTACCCCCCACCCCCAGCTTGTGCGTCCATAGTGGAGTCCCGCACTATTGTGGTTAGCGCTCTCGCTTCTCAAGGGAGAGGACCTGGGTTCGATGCCCAGGCGGGTCAGGGCAAAACTGTGAACAAATTTCCTTACTCCACGCGCGAGCTTGGGTTTACCGAGCAGTAAGTAGGAATTCAGGCGTCTCTACCACGTGACAAGGCGCTGTATCAAAGGCGATGCGATCTGAAGACAAGGGAAGGGAAGGGGTAAGGAGGAGGGATAGAGGTAGGGCGTTCCCGAGGCTCTACACTCACCACAAACCCGAAGCCTCTCTTGAGATCGATCTCACGAATCCGCCCGTACCCTTTGAAGAACTTTTCCACATCGCGCTCCCTCACCTGAGGGCTCAGGCGTCCGATAAAAACTCGGCAACCGTTCATTTTGCCAGAGTTTAGGTAATTCCTATTAAATAAAATGCACATTAAATTTTTTTTTAGCAATTTCCTCGTGCGGCAAAACTCTTTCACACGGACGATGTCTCCAGCCCGACCCAAACCTTACACCAGCATTCACATTACTTCCAGCTCCTTCACACTCTCTCTCACTCTCTCTCTCGCTCACTCTCGCACACGCTCGCTGACACTCGCTCTCATTGACACTCGCTCTCGCTCACACACACTCTCTCTCTCCCTCACTCTCTCTCTCTCCCTCACTCTCTCTCTCCCTCACACCATCTCCCTCACTCACACTCACTCTCTCCCTCTCCCTCACCCCCTCTCCCTCACACCCTCTCCCTGACTTTCACTCTCTCTCACCCTCACCCCCTCACTCTCTCTCTCTCCATCACTCTCTCACACTCACTCTCTCTCCCATTCGCTCTCTCTCTCTCCCTCACTCTCTCTCTCACTCTCCCTCACTCTCTCACTCACTCTCCCTCACTCTCTCCCTCACTCTCTCTCACCTTCTCCCTCACTCTCTCACTCTCCCTCACTCTCTCACTCACTCTCACTCTCTCCCTCACTCTCTCTCACCCTCTCCCTCACTCTCTCTCTCACTCTCCCTCACTCTCTCACTCACTCACACTCACTCTCTCCCTCACTCTCTCTCACCCTCTCCCTCACTCTCTCTCACACTCTCTCACTCTCTCTCACCTTCTCCCTCACTCTCTCCCTCCCCCTCTCTCCCTCATTCACCCTCTCTCCCTCCATCACTCTCTCACACACTCACTCTCCCTCCCTCTCCTGTACCGGACGCTGTTCAGCTCTGAGGCCGTTTGTCTCCGTCGCTGCGGACGCCCCGCCCGCCAACAGGGTCTCCCGGGCCCCACAGCACGGGCTCTGACGTCACACACAGACCAGGCCCCGCCCCTCGCGTCACTGATCACAACAATCAGCAGCCAATACTCAATGATAATCAATAACAATAATCATCAATAATAATCAATAATACCACCATGGAAATTATTATTAATCACAAAAATCAACGATAATAACAAATAATAATACCACAATCGTCGATAATTATTAATAATAATCGATGATAATAAATGATACCACAATAATCTAATCAATAATAATAATTATTAATAACAATAATCGATGATAATTATAATCAATAACAATACAATAACCAGTAATATAATAATACACAGTCACTACACTTTACAGTATATCCTGTGAAGCTTTGAGACGTCTCGAAGACGTGATAAGGCGCTGTGTCACCGCCAGGATTATTATTATCATATTATTATTACTTTATTATCGTATTATTATTGTATTATTGTTATTATTATTATATTTTTACTTTATTATTGTTATTAAAGGGCCGGAACCTTTCTTGTGGGGATGAGTTGCCGCGCGGACCTGGTGTGCGGCAGGAACAGGCCCCGGGGGGTATTTCCGGATTCGGTTGGTGGAGCTGTCGGTGTCGGTGAAACAAAGCCCCGCGAGATGGAGACCCCGCGACCCCGGGAAGGTCAGGGCGGGTCAGGCCCCGGTTGGGGCCGCTTTAAACCCCACATTAATTCCCATTTAAACCCCGTTAACCAATTGCAAAGATCACCATCATCATCATTAACAACTCACTCAGTTTGGGCCGCCACAGAAACAGTGGGGGTTAAAGGGGAAACAGTGGGGGTTAAAGGGGAAACAGTGGGGGTTAAAGGGGAAACAGTGGGGGTTAAAGGGGAAACGGGGTTAAAGGGGAAACAGTGGGGGTTAAAGGGGAAACAGTGGGGGTTAAAGGGGAAACGGGGTTAAAGGGGAAACAGTGGGGGTTAAAGGGGAAACAGTGGGGGTTAAAGGGGAAACAGTGGGGGTTAAAGGGGAAACAGGGGGTTAAAGGGGAAACAGTGGGGGTTAAAGGGGAAACAGTGGGGGTTAAAGGGGAAACAGTGGGGGTTAAAGGGGAAACAGTGGGGGTTAAAGGGGAAACAGTGGGGGTTAAAGGGGAAACAGTGGGGGTTAAAGGGGAAACAGTGGGGGTTAAAGGGGAAACAGTGGGGGTTAAAGGGGAAACAGTGGGGGTTAAAGGGGAAACAGGGGGTTAAAGGGGAAACAGTGGGGGTTAAAGGGGAAACAGTGGGGTTAAAGGGGAAACAGTGGGGGTTAAAGGGGAAACAGTGGGGTTAAAGGGGAAACAGTGGGGGTTAAAGGGGAAACAGTGGGGGTTAAAGGGAAACAGTGGGGGTTAAAGGGGAAACAGTGGGGGTTAAAGGGGAAACAGTGGGGGTTAAAGGGGAAACTGGGGGTTAAAGGGGAAACAGGGTTAAAGGGGAAACAGTGGGGGTTAAAGGGGAAACAGTGGGGGTTAAAGGGGAAACAGTGGGGGTTAAAGGGGAAACTGGGGGTTAAAGGGGAAACAGTGGGGTTAAAGGGGAAACAGTGGGGGTTAAAGGGAAACAGTGGGGGTTAAAGGGGAAACAGTGGGGGTTAAAGGGGAAACAGTGGGGGTTAAAGGGGAAACAGTGGGGGTTAAAGGGGAAACAGTGGGGGTTAAAGGGGAAACAGTGGGGGTTAAAGGGGAAACAGTGGGGGTTAAAGGGGAAACAGTGGGGGTTAAAGGGGAAACAGTGGGGGTTAAAGTGGGAGGAGCCTAAGGCCACTAAACAGTGAAATCGCATACAAAACATTATTATTATTATTGTCTCAAAGGACATCATTAACCTTTTCAAATATCTGCTTTTAAGCAAGAAAGCTTCTAGGCCTACAGCAATTGCAGACAGTTCTCCTGTTCTCAGTCTATTTCAAAATATAAATTATTGGTCTTGGCTATGAAACCGGCTGCCACTGGATTTGGTCATGTTATTCCTTCTCTCCATGCCCACTGCATCCATGTCTGCAGTCTGTCTATGATTACAGTGGTGAGACATCACCTTGTTGACGAGTATCAACAAGATAATAATAATCCCTCCAAAAAAACCAAAAAACAATAATAAAAAAAAAATTGGGTCATTTTCAATCTACGACTGTTTGTGGGACATTGCTGTGCGCAATTGGCTGCCGCGTTCGCCCACAAATATACAGTCAATTCACTTTGCAGTGTGTTCTGTGAAGCGCTTTGGGACATCCTCCCGACGTGAAAAGCGCTATATCAAATGCGAGGATTATTATTATTATTATTATTAACTTTGCGGCGCTTTCTGCGAAACTTTGAGACGTTTTGACGACGTGATAAACGGGGCTGTGAGGATTAGGACTGATTTTGGTGCCTTTGGTCTCCCTCCCACCTCTCTGCCTCCCCTCACCCCTACACCACCCCTCCCCCATGCTCAGGCCCCGACACCTGACTGTTCTCCCGACGTGAAAGGCGCTCTATAAATGTAATTTTGTTGTTGACTGACTGACCGTGAGCCACTTTGCACAGATCTGCAGGTGGAGAATCCCTTTGAGGCCGGGGCGGCTGTCGGGCAGGACCGGGAGACGGGCACTGATTTATCGTCCGGACGGGGCCCTCTCTCAGCCAAAGAGATGCGCGATCGGCAGAAGGAAGAGGCGATGAACGCTTCGTTGAAGAGCATGTTCCACTCGGTGGCCAGCAGTTCGGTGCCGGTGAAAAGCCAACAGATGGACGAACCCGACCTGGATTACGAGCAGAAGTTGGACATTATTGAGGAGCTTTTCTGGGGCAAGCCGGTCATCTTCCTGGAACGTTTCCACAAACTCCTCCGGGAGGAACACCTCTCCTGCTTCGACCACCTGCCCCGAGACTACACCGTCACCTTCTACTGCGACTCCGTTCGCAAGTGTTCGGTGAAGAAAACCGCCCGAGCCAACGTTCGGAACAAGAGGTACGCTGCCCTCCAGCAGCTGATTAAAGGTGACCCACACGGCTTTTTATTTAACCTTTTTTTTACGTTTTATCCATATCCCCATCACCCCAGCCCTCACCAGGCTCCACTGGCTCTCGATTCCCGGGCTGGGCGAAATCTTTGGCGAGTTTCCTTGAATTTTCGATTATGGACTGTTTGTGGCTGTTGCTGGGCGCAATTGGCTGCCGCGTTTCATCCACAAAAATAAATATATCAAACACAAAGATTATTATTATTAAAAGATTATTGTTATATTCTCTCCCCACCCCACTCTGCCCCCCCCCGCCCACCACCCACCCACCCTCTCCCCTTGCAGACGGGGAGTATTTCAGTGATGAGCAGATGAGGAATCGGGACCCGTTGCTTTATGAGCATTACATCGGGCAGCACATGACAGAGGATGAGTACGTGGCTCAGAGAAGCAAGACCCCTGGGGACGCCATGTCTCTGTCTGAGCTCCTGATGGACACGTACCAGGAGAGAATGGTTCAGCAGCGGCTACAGCAGCAGCAGGAGCAGGAGGACGCCTGTGTGGAGGAAGAGGAGGAGGATGAAGAGGAAGGTACGTTGATATCCCAGGGTTAATGCCAGCGACTGTACCTGTTGGTCGATTTGGTGTTGGCCTGACCCTAACCCTAACCCCAACCCCTACACTATATCACGTCATCGAGACGTCCCAAAGCACTTCATGGGATATACAGGATATACTGTGTATTTTATGGGTGAAACGCGGCAGCCAATTGCGCACAGCAGTAGCCTGCAAACAGTCGTGGATTGAAGTGACCAATTTTATTTGAGGGGGATTGTCGGCCAGGACACCAGGAGAGAGAGAGAAACTCCTTTTTCTTTTCGAATAGCGCCGCGGGATCTTTAAGAGATAAATAATAATAATATAAGGCTAATTTGCAAGGCTAAGAGCGGAGGAGTGGGACTAGTTGGTGGCTCTTTCAAAGAGTCAGGACAACACGATGGGCCGAATGGCCTCCTTCTGTTCTGTAAGATTCTATGATTCTATGAATAATCCTTGCATTTGAAACGCCACCTTTCAGGGCGGGAGGACGTCCCCAAGCGCTTCACAGGAATTGCTGTAAAGTGTAGCGACCGTCTGTGGGTGAAAAGTTGGGGAAATTGGATTAAAAGCTCTGCGATGATCTTAACAGACTGACTGGTTGGGCCGAATGACCCGACTCTTTCTCTGTAAAGTGGGTTCTCTGTGTGTTTGTGTGCGTGTGTATGTGTGTGTGCTCTGCTCAACGTAAGGTCTCATCCAAAGGATGGCGTCTCTGACAATGCGGTGCTCTCTCTCTCACCCCCCTCACCAGCGCTGCGCTGGAGCCCGATGTGCGGGGGGGGGGTGGGGGGGAGTGTGTTCTGAACCCATAACCTTACGACTCTGAGGTGAGAGCGTAAGAGACTGAGCCATGGGCTGAAAGGTGACGCTGACACCCTGCTATTTACTGTTGTCTCGCAGACGAGGAGTCAGTATCACGGGCTGAAGACTGGATGCCCAGTGCAGACGAGAAGACTTTGCTGAGGGAGGAGTTTGTCAGCCAAATGCACCAGCGTTTCCTGGACGGTGAGGAAAGAGACTTTGATTACAGGTAAACAGCTACGTATCAAGCAGTGGAGTATCATCCTAGTTGTATATACTATATCCTTCACAGGATATACTGTAGAGTGTAGTGACTGTACATTTTGGGGGCGAAAAACGGCAGCCAATTGCGCACAGTGATGTCCCACAAGCAGTCATGGATTGAGTGACCAAATTGTTGTTGTGATATATTTTTTGGAGGGATTATTACCCCTGGAAAGTGATCCCCCAATTGTCTGTGTGGAGTGAGGAAACTTGCCCAAGGTTTCGTCCTGACCTGACCCGCCCGGGAATCGAACCCGGGTCCTCTCGCTTTCGAGGACTCTAACCCCTGAGCTACAGGGAGACTCCAGCTGTGGATTGAGTGACCTAATTATTACTATTATGTTTTGCTCTTGACCGTTGGCTGATCTGCTTGCAGTGCTGTTGATGAGAATCCAGAGTTCGACAACCTTGAGATCGTGAGCCGGGATGAGGAGGACAAATACTTTGATGAGGAGGAGCCGGTGGACGCAGACAGCATGGAAACGGAGTCAGATAAGGAATGAGCAGCCTCGGAATTTCCTGGGAAAAAAATAGTCAGCTTACATATGTATTTAGAAAGGACTTTTTTTTTGGTGGGGTGATCAGTCGGGTGTCTGAAACAAAAGGAAACCCCATCACCAAGAGTCTCCAACCCCAACTGAGAATTCCCCACGTACCACCTACACCTGGAAACTCCCGAGATAGATTGTCGGAATGGAATGCTCTCTCTCTCTCTCCCTGGAGGGGCGTCCCTGTTTACCTATTTCCGGAAAGCATTGGGCGCAGTTTGGCGAGAGCCAAGGCTTGGGATGGGGGGGAACCCAGAGTCTGCATTGGGCATAACTGCTAGAGTCTAACCAGCTAAACCACACGCAACTTGGCCATCGAGAGAGAGAGAGAGAGAGAGTGCTGTCTGGCCAAGCTTTCCCGCTGCTTGTCCAGCTGGGACCACCTTACAAAGTTAGGGCTTTGGATTGTTTTAAGAAGGATGGAGGGTTGTGCAAGACCGAAACCTTAAGGTTTGTTTTATTACTTTACATTATGTTTGTGTTGAGTTGATTTACTTCTCATTATGTCTCTTCACATTATGTCCATCCCACAGTCCCTCCACCTCACTCCCTCACTCGCCTCCTTCGGCCAGTCTCAAGACCCTCCTCTTCGACCAACCACACCTTTGGTCACCCTCCTCCCCCCACCGTCCACCCCCTCCTGATTCCAACCCTCAGCTCGGGTCTAAATCCTTGAATGTCTAGCGCTTTCGGACGTCCTCCCGATGTGAAAGGAGCCGTGTAAATAAAATGTGTTGATTTGTTGTTGTTAACATTGAATTGATGTTGTGTTACATCAAGTTGAGTTGCCTTCCTTGCCCCAAAGCCAGATCAATTTGTCTCTTCTCTGAGTGTAGTGTCTTGTCTGAGTTCAAAGTCTTGCAGGGAATTCATAGAATCATAGAATGTTAGGGCACAGAAGGAGGCCATTTGGCCCATCGAGTCTGTGCCGGCTCTTGACAGAGCAACTGACTTTTATTAACCCCACTCACCAGCTTTCTCCCCATAACCCTGCAAACCTGTCTTCTCCAGATACCTATCCAATTCTCTCTTAAAAGCTGTTATCGAATCGGACTTCACTGCCCTTTCGGGCAGATCATTCCAAATTCTAACAACTCGCTGAGTGAAAAAGATTCTTCTAACCTCCCCTCTGCTTCTTTTGGTAGATATCTTAAGACTGTGACCACGAGTCACAGACACACCTACCAGCGGAAACAGCTTTTCCCTATCTAGCCTGTCAAAACCTTTCATGATCTTGAAGACGTCTATCAGGTCCCCGCCTAACCTTCTCTGCTCTAATGAGAAAAGTCCTAACTTTTCTAGCCTGTCCTCATAGCTAAGCTTCCCCATTTCTGGTATCATTCTCGTGCCTCGTCTCTCAGATATTTCAGAGTATCCCAGCCTGAGCCTTGTCCAGTCTTGTCCTTTCTACTGGAGAAGAGGAACGCTGTGGAAACGCGAGCATCCACACTGGACGCCGAGCCCCCGACCGGACACCTAGCCCCCGGATGGTGGATGGTTTTACATATGCTTGTGTTTCCCAGGCGCTCCCTGTGCTGGAGTTTTGTGGAGTCCTGTAGCTCAGTGGTTAGAGCACTCGCTTTGCAAGCGAGAGACCTGGGTTCAATTCCAGACAGGGCGAAACCTTGGGCAAGTTTCCTTACTCCACACAGAGCCTAATAATAATCCTCCAAAACCAAAAACGATAATAAATTGGTCATTTTCAATCTACAACTGTTTGTGGGACATTGCTGTGCGCAATTGGCTGCCGCGTTCGCCCACAAATATACAGTCAATCCACTTTACAGTGTGTTCTGTGAAGCGCTTTGGGACGTCCTCCCGACGTGAAAAGCGCTATATCAAATGCAAGGATTATTATTATTATTTTGTCCAATTTGGCTCGGGCTCATGAATGTTTGGTCTTAAACCAATTTTTAGGGTCAGGGGTTAGATCCCTTCTGTACCTGAGAAAATCTAACCTACATTTTTTTTTCTGCTTATTCCAATTTTTTGTGCTATAATTTTTAGGGGTAGAGGTTAGGGTTAGATCCCTTCAACGTTGGAGTTGGGTTAAGGGTTAGGTTGAGGGTGAGGGGGTTAGGGGTGGGTTAGGTTTAGATCCCTGATTAAAGAATTCACCTAGCTTGACTCTTCTAAAAGATTCTTCTATATCCGGTTTTAATTTTAGTTGACAGGGGTTGTTAGCAGGGACAAACATCAGCGCTTTATTTAGTACGCTAGCCTGGGCCTGGGACACGTTTACGAGGCCTAGGTCCCGCTTTTCTGGGGCTCTTATGCTTCTTAGTTTAAATGCCCGGATCAGTGTTTAATCGTGGTCTGGGCTGTGTCTTTCGTCAAGTGGATTTTGTTCACTTCCTTGTTCTACCCTGAACTGTTTGGCTGGGATTGCCGGGATGCCCTCTTGCTTATTCCTGATGAATGTATTGATTCCTTCCAGTGTGTCCCTCTCCTTTCTGTCCAGATCAGGGCTGAAATTAATTTCCGCGATCTGAATTTGGGCGTTAGGAAAGTCTAACCTTGCTCTCTTTACCAAGACCTGCAGCTGTTTAGCTGCAGTCTTTGGCTGATGACTCCGGTTATGGATGCCGATTGAGAGCATGACTTTTCGGGTTTCCTGGCAGGGTTGGCATGGGGTTAGGATTAGGGTACACAATTAGGGTTAGGGTACACAATTAGGGTTAAGGTAACTAGGGTTAGATTAATTAGGGTTAGGGTTAAGGGTTGGGTTAGGGTTACACAATTAGGGTTAGTGTTAGGGTACACAATTAGGGTTAGGGTAATTAGGGTTAGGGTTAAGGGTTCGAGTTGGGTTAGGGTTACACAATAACAACAACAAGATTCCATTTATTGAGTGTCTTTCACGTAGGGGCTGAGAGGCTGAAGGGTTAGGGTTAAGGTTAGGGGTTAGGGTTAGGGGTTAGGGTTTAGGGTTAGGTGTTAGGGTTAGGGTTTAGGGTTAGGTTTAGGGTTTGGGTTAGAGTTTATGGTTAGGGTTTAGGGTTAGGGTTAGGATCCTTAGGGTTAGGGTTAGGGTTAGGGGTTAGGGTTAGGGTAGGTTTAGGGTTTGGGTTTAAAGTTAGGGTTAGGGTTAGGATCCTTTGGGTTAGGGTTGGGGTTTGGGGTTAGGTTTAGGGTTAGGGCTTAGGGCTTATGGTTAGCGTTAGGAGTTAGGGGTTAGGGTTTAGGGTTAGGTTTAGGATCCTTAGGGTTAGGGTTAGGGTTGGGTTTAGGGGTTAGGGTTGGTGGTTAGGGTTAGGGCTGGGGTTGGGGTCGGGGTCAGGGTTGGGGTTAGGGGTTAGGGTTCTTAGGGTTAGGGTTCTTAGGGTTAGGGTTCTTAGGGTTAGGGTTGGGTTTAGGGTTTAGGGTTAGGGGTTAGGGTCCTTAGGGTTGGGGTCTTTAGGGTTAGGGTTAGGGTCCTTAGGGTTAGGGTCCTTAGGGTTAGGGTCCTTAGGGTTAGGGGTTAGGGTTAGGGTTTAGGGTTTGGGTTCGGGTTAGGGGTTCGGGTTAGGGGTTAGGGTTAGGGTTTTGGGGTTGGGGGTCGGGGGTTTGGGGGTTAGCGTTTGGGGGTTAGCGTTTGGGGGTTAGCGTTTGGGGGTTAGGGTTATGGGGGGGGGTTAGGGTTAGGGGGGGTTAGGGTTTAGGGTTAGGGTACTTAGAGTTAGGGTTAGGGTACTTAGGGTTAGGGTTAGGATTTAGGGTTCAGGGTTAGGGGTTAGGGTTAGGGTAACTTAGGGTTAGGGGTTAGGGGCTAGGGGTTAGGGGTTGGGGTTAGGGGTTAGGGGGTTAGGGTTCTTAGGGTTAGGGTTCTTAGGGTTAGGGTTCTTAGGGTTAGGGTTCTTAGGGTTAGGGTTCTTAGGGTTAGGATCCTTGGGGTTAGGGTTTGGGTTTGGGTTAGGGTTAGGATCCTTAGGGTTAGGGTTAGGGGTTAGGGTTAGGGGTTGTGGTCGGGGGTCGGGGTTGTGGTCGGGGGTCGGGCAGAGGGCGAAACCTTGGGCAAGTTTCCTTACTCCACACGCCTAATAATAATCCCTCCAAAAAACAAAACAGTAATAAATTAGTTATTTTCAATCCACGACTGATTGTGGGATGCTGCTATATGCAATTGGCTGCTGTATTTCGTCCGCAAATAAATAATCAATTTGCTTTACGGTCTATTTTGTGAAGCGCTTTGAGACGTTAGACATGATAAGCGCTATATCAAATGCAAGTTTATTATTGTCACTGGAAGCCAAGTATGTGCTAATGAGAGCCAAAAACTGTCGACTGAAATTAATGCCCTGTTCAGTGTAAGTAAAGAGCCTCATAGTTTACAGCGGTGTCTGAGGGACGTGTTGTCCTACTTTTGACTATGTGGTAAGTGAAGATTCCTGGAAACCTTAGGATGACGGCTGAAGCTCACACCCTATTTCTCTCTAGCTCCTTGGGACTTGTGGAGGATAAGGTAAGTCTGTACAAGTGGGAACTCTGTGATGGCAAAGGTTGTATCTTTTTCTCTCTTGCACTTTCCACACTCCAGAGATTTGGCAACACTATGTGGACTTCATGCAGGATATCTGACATCCGAACACATATGAACCAAACTCTGGTTCATACTAGAGGTTGAGATTAGAAGTCGTTAGTAACAGACTGAGGTTGGAAAGGACTGGCCAGGGAGATGTTTCTGGATTAATGTGGTGAGGTGACAGGTTGGGTTGAGGGTAGAATTAATTGGTACAGTTTGTAGGAATCGCAGTTTTAAGGTCAGACACTGCAGTTAAATTGTATTAGATTTGATAACATCTATTACATGAGTTTGATCTGAGATCAGAGTGAATTTGTTTGTTGTTGGGTAATACAGAGTCTCTGTGTGGAGGTTGGTTTATTTGCCGAGAGCCAGTGTCTGTCAAGGTTGGTTTGGGTTTTGTGGCTGAGAGTCGGTTTGTATCAGGGCTGGTTGTGGAGCATCAGTTTGTGTGCGAGTTGGTTCAGGACAGGTGTCGAGTCAGTGACTGTCTGTTGAGGTCGGTCGAGTGCAGTTGTTGAGGGTTAGAGTCTTTCAGGTCTGGCTCAGTGCAGTTGCCTTGGGTCAGTTGCTGCCAGGGCTGGGTCGGAGCAGTTTGCACGGCTGGTTTGCTAGTAACTGGTAATGTGTAGCTGTCGAGAGTCGATCGCTGCCAGGTCTGGATCAGTGTAGCTGCCATGAGTCAGGTTCTGTTCAGACTCGTTTAGTATAGTTGTGGAGTCAACTCATGTTGAGATTGGTTCAGAGTTGGGTTTGTCAGGGTGAGTTTGTCCAGATGTTGAGAGTTGGTTTCTCTCAGTGTTTCCTTAGTGTGGTTGAGAGTTGGGTTTGTTGGTGTTTAGTTGGGAGGGTGTTTGAGAGTTGGCTTGTGTCAGGGCAGGTTCAGTGTAGTTTGAGTCGGTTGGTGTCAGGGTTGGTTACTGTAGCTGGTGAGAGTCGGTCTGTGTCAGGGCCTCAGTGTAGTTGTTGAGAATAGATTTCTGTATATTTGATCAGTGAAGCTCAGGAGAGTTGGTTTGTGTCGGGCCTGGTTTAGTGAAGTTGAGATGTTGTGAGATGGGGTTGGCTTTGTGTTTGTCAGAATCTCTTCATTATTGAAGCTGTTCATGTTGAGATTGGTTCAGTGTATTTGATGGGAGTTGGTCAGTGTCAGGGCTGGTTCAGTGTAGGCACACAACCAATTTATTTACAGCAGAGCTTGGATTGGGCTTGTATTACTTTGGATGATATGGTAAGTGCAGATTTGTGGAAATTTTACAATATTTGCTTTTTCTCTAACAACATGGGATTCGTAGCAGATAAGGTAACTGTAATAGCGGAAACCTTACGGTGGCAACTAAAGCTACTACACTCTTTTTCTCTTGCACCTTTCCACACCCCAGAAGTTTGGCAACACAATGTGGAATTCATGCAGGATGTCTGACATCCGAACACATAAGAGCCTGAACTCTGGTTCTCATTGTAGGTTCAAATGAGAAGTTGTCAGTCAGATGGTGTAAGATTAGATGTATATTCAGATTTGATATCAGTTTCTTATGTTTAGAGAGAATATTTTTGCTAGTAGGTGATAGTGAAGTTAAGAGCTGATGTTTGAAGATTGTTCAAGTGTAGTTTTGAGAGTTAGTTTTTGTCAGTGTAGTTTGAGGGTTTAATTAGTTGAATAGATTCAGGGCCAAGAGTTGGTTTCTGTCAGGGCTACTTTGAAGCGGGGTCTCAAAGTCAGTTTACTAGCGACTGGCTTTGTGTATCTGCTGAGATTCAGTTCCTGTCAGCGTTGTTTGAGGGTTCAGTTTGTGTTGAGGTCATTCAAGGCTGAGAGTTGGTTTGTGTCAGAGTGAGTTGAGTAGATTCAGGGCCAAGAGTTGGTTTCTGTCAGGGCTGCTTTGAAGCGGGGTCTCAAAGTCAGTTTACTAGCGACTGGCTTTGTGTATCTGCTGAGATTCAGTTCCTGTCAGCGTTGTTTGAGGGTTCAGTTTGTGTTGAGTTGATTCAAGTCTGAGTTGGTTTGTATCAGAGTTAGTTGAGTAGATTCAGGGCCAAGAGTTGTTTTTTGTCAGTGTAGTTTGACGGTTTAATCAGTTGAGTCGATTCAGGGCCAAGATGAGCTCATCAACCTTATTCCCTAAGCTGCATGCATTTGAGGAAATTGTCCACATGTAACTACTTTATATTTCCCACTTGTCTTTTTCCTCTATTGTTTATCCTGGGATCCCCCTCACCACTAGTTTAAATCAGCCCCCCCAGCATTCGATAATCTCTTGGCCAGGAAGCTAACCCCTGCCTTGCTTAAGTGCCACCCATCTGCAAGGTAATGATCCCACCTCCCCCAGTAGTGGTCCCAATTGTCCACAAAATGGAAGCTTTCTTTTCTGGACCATTTTTCTAGCCAGTCCAAGAAGTGGCTCGGGGTTGCTGTCACCTCTGTGGCGTGTTGTCATTTACTGATAAGAGGGGACCCTCCGCCCTTTCCCAAAGCCGTCTTTGTTCCTTTTCCACACACAGAAAATCTGATGTGTTCTATCCGGTGACTGTCAGTACATTCGACATTGGTTTAATGTTCATTATTATTGTACAACTTCTATAGTCGAAGAACAGTAAATTCTGGGCTTTTATTTGTTTGTTTGAAGCTGATTTTGTGCAACTTGAGATTTGCGCACTTTTCCTGTTTTAAGAGGTTTTATACAGACAGCCTCGCGTGTGCGCGCACAGACGCTCCCCGGCCCCACCCAGACTCGGGGCCAGGATTTGAGACCCGGCACCTTTCCCGTTGACGCCTCATCCTCCGGTAAGAAAAAACACATCATAATAAAATATCTTTGTTTATATTATTTTTCACGGTTTAAAAAAAACACCTCTCGTGTCTGTGGGAAATCATTACTCTTTTTCAATTTTGATTTGTGTCAAAAAAATTAGAGGAAACGCTGTAAATTGACACCGAAAACCAGTGCAAAATGTCCCTAATTCTGCATTAATCCCAATCATATCCATGGGGTTTGGCATTGACTTTGTGTTTAAATCATAACCGCTCACCGGGGACAACGGGTTTAAAGTGCAATAGTTTATTAAACTCAATCAGTGGCAAACAGGGGCGGGACCGGTGACGAGAGCAGGATTTCAGTCTGTGGACTGTATTTGGGAATTAAAGCGAGGCTGTCGCCCTCTTAAAGGCAGGAGCGAAGGTGTATGGGGCATGTGGGTTGTAGACCGCCCCCACACACAGAGCCCCAACCCAGTAGAGAGGAAAGATTTTAAATCAGAAAAGCAGGAAGTAGTCAGTATGGGTATAGGCATGTAACAACAAGGGGCAAGAAACCTCGAGTGGGAGTAGCTTATAGACCCCCGAACAGCAGTCACAGTATCTCAAGGTATAAATCAGGAAATTAGCAGAGCATGTAGTAAAGGAAAAACATCAATTGTGGGCAATTTTAATCTGCACATAGATTGGGACAACCAAATTGGGAAAGGTATGGTAGAGGAAGAGTTTATAGAATGTATTAGGGATAAACTATCTGGATCAGTTTGCCAAGGAACCAACCAGGGCGAAACCTTGGGCAAGTTTCCTTACTCCACACGTCTAATAATAATCCCTCCAAAACCAAAAATAAATTAGTCATTTTCAATCTACGACTATTTGTGGGACATTGCTGTGCGCAATTGGCTGCCGCGTTTGCCCACAAATATACAGTCAATTCACTTTACAGTGTGTTCTGTGAAGCTTTGGGACGTCCTCCTGATGTGAAAAGCGCTATATCAAATGCAAGGATTATTATTATCATTAGTGATCTTCATTTACTCTCTTACAGTAAATGGCCGATCGATGTCCTTGGGCTCCGGGACTCCCAGCACATTCGGCTCCAGCAATAGCAAATGCTCGCCAGCCGACCACAGGCAGAAATCAGAGGCCTACAAATCCATTTTCACCTCCCACAGCTCAGCGAAACGCTCAAAGGACCAGGAGCCAAACTGGATCACCCACACTGCATACTACTTCTGAAACAGCCAGAACCAGATACCATCACCGCCTACTTTATTTAGTAAACCCAGGAGATTAAATTTCTTTCCTCCATGTGGACTTTTTCTCTGGGATCTCTTCCTAATTCTGCTGAGTGGCTCTTGTGTGATTTTAATCCTGGTGGTAATGAAAGTGAAAATGTTTAATTGGTGATGGGATCAGACTGAAGTGGTGAGACTTACCTCAGGTCTAGAGCTCACACTAATTATTGCTCAAACGTGCTTCCAATTGTCTACTGGTGGCTTTACTCTCATGAAAACTTCATTTTGCTTAATAAATCTCACAAAGGAGTCTTCATTGTCATCTTCTGTAGCCACACATGAGGAAACGATCAGCAAGTGCACCAGTGAGGCCCAGAGCACAACCTTTCTGTCAGGAAAGCAGTGGTCCTGGGGTTGAGGCAGAAAGATAGAGTTGGTTGTTACACACATGCAGAGTACACTCCCTGCACACATACACTTTTCTGTAACTTAGGGTGCAGTTATTTGTGTTTTTGAGCACCTGATTCACACCACATCCTACGAACAGCTTCTCAGTGAATCCACTCTGCACAGTGATGGAGGACGGTACTGCACTTTATTTTGTTCCACCAAGCGCTCTGGGACCTCTGCCCTGCGTGAGGGGTGCTATATAAATGCAGGTTATTGTTACTCATTATGTTTCAAAGTTTATTCTTACTCCACACACCTAATAATCCTCCAAAACAAAAAACAATAATAAATTGGTCATTTTCAATCTACGACTGTTTGTGGGACATTACGCAATTGGCTGCCGCGTTTGCCCACAAATAGTCAATTCACTTTATAGTGTGTTCTGTGAAGCACTTTGGGACATCCTCCCGACGTGAAAAGCGCTAAATCAAATGCAAGTATTATTATGTTCCAGGTTGTAGCTCCTGCAGCTGAGCCCAGCAATGCTGTGTTGCTGTGTGAAACATCAATTATAGTGAGATGTGGGATACAAACCGACTGTCTGCTTCTGTCCAGTTTAAACAAAACAACTGATTGATTTGGAATCAGAACATGTGTGGGACCTGTGTCTAGGGGGGAGACTAGCCACATGCATGGAACATGCACAGATGTGGGGTAGAAAGGACAGTTGCAGGTTAAACAAGATGCCAAGGTTCTGGACCGGCTCAGTGAGGTGGAGTGTGCATCCCTGAATGGTGATGCTGTCAGTGCCTGAGGTGTGGAGGAGCTGAACTGAGCCAATCAGCACCTCAACCCCTGGTATAGCATCCTATTAGTGTAGGGAAGGGTTAACCTGTAAATAAGGCACTCAGCAGATTATATGAATTACATGATTGGCCACCAGACAGTCTGGATTATGGTGGCAGGTACAGAAAAGTGCTTTTTCTACCGGATGTGCTGAAACAGGTGGAAAAATCACCTGCCCAACCTGGTTCAACACATAAACATGTAGATGCTTAACTTCAGTTGTGTTGATTCAGGACCGAGAGTTGGTTTCTTTTCGGGGGTGCTATGGGGAGAGAGGAAGCGGGGTTGGCCTAATTGGCAGCCTCCTGTGCTGTATAATTCTATGATTCTGCCCCAAACCAGGAATGTTATTGGAAACTCAAGCTGTTTGTTCTGATATCGTTGTTTATTTAAACGGAGGCAGAAGCTGAACAGAGTGGCCTCAACCAACAGCTGTGACAAGGGTTGGGGTTCAAATCATAATAATCCTGGCGTTTGATCCAGAGCCTGATCACGTCATTGAGACATCTCAAAGCGTTTCAGAGGACATGCTGTAAAGTGTAGTGACTGTGTTTTGCGGGCAAAACAAAACATCAGCAAGAAAACTGAATCTGTAAATCTCTGAACCAGCAGCTGATTCGCTAAATGAATCAATAGAAAATTGTGCGATTATTGTAAACTAATCAATAGAAAACCCTGTGAACCAATCAATAGCAAAGAAACCCATGTGCTGATAATGACTGGTTACAGCTGTGAAGAGTAGATCAACTGGACCTTGTGAGGAATGGGATTCCCTTATTGGCCACATGATAGAACTGACCTTTGGGTATTTAACCCAGAGACTGAGTGTAGTAACAGCCCAACCATCGGAGGAAGGAGTCACCTCATCAGCTCAGAGAAAGCAGATGAGTTGCTGGAGGCTTGTGGTTCAGAGCAGTGAAATGGTCAGTTTGCATGTGGTGGATTGGCTCAGGCCGGTCTCTCTATGGACTATACAAGGCAAGTCTGTATTTGTGAGAACCTTCAGGTGGACTGTAAACTGCCTGTAATGTTGATTCTCCTTAAAAAGTGAAGGGAAAGTGTCCAAATCTTGGGTGTTGTCTCCTGTGAGCATCAGAGACATTATCACTGTCCACCTGTCCTTGATGTAAATTGTGAATAACTCTTGGTCAGTTCGGCTTTTCCTTTTATTGTATAACGTGTCTCAAAAACAATTGCTATTATTTTGTTCCTATCTGGAATCTGTAGACAACTCCCAGCAGAGTCTTAGCCTCCTTTGCTGTTCCTTTATTCTACCCATAGCATTTCTGTGGCCTGATCACCTTTACTAAAGTCCTTTCTATCTACTGCTGTACTTCAGTGTTATCCATATTGCTCCCGTCCTTTCCCAATTTTTCTGTCCTTTCTAAAGATCTTACAGCCTGGAATATTTAACTCCCAGTAATGCCCGGCTTGTAGCCAGGTCTCTGTAATGGCTACTACATCAGACCCTTTAAGCTGAATTTGTGTTTCTAACTTGTTTTATTTTTTATGCTATGTATTTGTGGATAGACACTTAAGATAACTGTCTTTGTTTGCCCAATGGTGTTTTTCTCTTGTCATTTTTTTGTTTATTCTAAAAAAGCATTTCTCTTTCTGGAGAAATTGAGTTATTTATCACTTTTTGTTTTCTAATCTTTGCTCTTCTTTGTCTTTAGTTTACGGTTTCCACTTGAACTCGATGTGAAAGGCACTCTATAAATGTAATTTTGTTGTTGTTGTCCTGGAACCAGTGCACGTTTGTGTTGATCTTGAACGCTGGGCTAATGTTCATTCATACCACATGAGAGCTGGATTTTCATACGTCAATGAACTTTAGAGACCTTGTCCCCATCCATCTGTTTGATGTAGATTGTGACCACTCTTGACCAGTCTGGACTAGGGTTCTCTCTATTACAATCATTCTCCTCTTTTCTGTCACTTTCTCTCTCTCTCTTACAAACTTTTCCCTCTCTGTCATTCTTTCTATCAGAATCTTTCTCCTTTCTGTTGCAATCTCCTCTCTATCACACTTTCTCTCTTGTCCAATAATTCTCCTTTTCTCTATCACAACCTTTCTCCCCTCTATTACACTTTCACTCTCTAATGCAATCTTTCTCATCTCCATCACAAACTTTTCCCTCTAACAATCTGTCTATCAGAATCTTTCTCCTCTCTATTGCAATCTTTTCTCAATCACACATTCTCTCCATTGCAATCTTTCTGCTCTCTATCATACTTTGTCTCTCTCTATTCCAATCCTTCTAACACTCTATCTCTCTCCTTCTCTCGCCCAATTTTCCTCCACCCTCTCACATTTCTTCTTTATTGCAATTTTTTGGCTTTTCTCTATCACAATCTTTCTCCTTCTTTCTAACACACATTCTGTCTATCAGAATCGTTCTCTTTCTCTCTATCACACTTTCTCTCTCTATTACAATATTTGCTCTCTCTGTCACACTTTCTATCAGAATCTTTCTCCTCTCTATTACAACATTTTGCGTCTCTGTCACACCTCTCTCTATTACAAACGTTTCCCTCTCTATCACTCTATCAGAATCTTTCTCTGTTGCAATCTTTCTCCTCTCTATCACACTTTGCCTCTCTCTTTTGCAATCTTTCTAACTCTATTGCTCTCCTCTCTTGCCCAATTTTCCTCCTTTGTCTCACATTTCTTCTTTATCACAATTTTTCTGCTTCTCTCTATTATACTCTATCAAAACATTTCTTCTCTCTTTCCCTCTCTATTCCACATTTTCTCTCTATCACTCTTTCTATCAGAATCTTTCTCCACTCTATTACAACCTTTTCCATCTCTGTCACACTTTCTCTTTCAGAATATTTCTCCTCTCTCACACTTTCTCTCTCTATTACAAACTTTTCACTCTTTCTATCAGAATCTTTCTCCTCTGTCACACTTTCTCTCTATTGCAATCTTTCTGTTCTGTCATACTTTCTCTCTATTCCAGTCCTTCTAACACACTTTCTCTCTCTATCAGAGTCGTTCTCTCTCTATTACAAGCTTTTCCCTCCATCACACACTCTCTCTATTCCAATCTTTCTTACACACTTTCTCCTCTATTACAATCTTTCTTCTCTCTTTCACACTTTCCCTCTCTATTCCAAACTTTCTCTTCTCTATCACACTTTCTCTCTATTTTAATCTCTCATCTCTATTACAACCTTTTCTGTCTGTCACACTTTCTCTCTATTTTTATCACTCTACCAGAATATTTCTTCTCTCTATTACCTTTTCTGTCTCTGTCACACTTCCTCTCTGTTACAAACTTTTCTCATTCTTTCTATCAGAATCTTTCTCCTCTCTATTGCAATCTTTATCCTCTCTCATAGTTTCTCTCTATTCCAGTCCTAACTCACTTTCTCTCTATCTCTCTCGTCCAATTTTCCTCCTCTCACATTTCTTCTTTATCGCAATTTTTCTGCTCTCTTATATTTTCTCTCTTTCACAATCTTTCTCCTTTCTAACACACTATCTATCAGGATCGTTCTTTTTCTCTCTCTATTACAACCTTTTCCGTCTGTCACACTTTCTCACTATTGCAATCTTTCTCCTTTTCTCTACCACACTTTGTCTCTTGTGCAATCTTTCTCCATCATAGTTTGTCTCTTCCTGTTACAATCGTTGCCCTCTCTCTCACACCTATCAGAATCTTTCGCCTTCTTTATGTTTTCTGTCGCACTATCTGTGTATTACAATGTTTCTCCTTCTTTCTATCACACTTGCTCTCTCTATTACAAGCTTTTCTATATCTCTTTCTCCTTACCACACTCCCTCACTTTCTCTCTATCGCAATCTTTCTCCTTCTCTTTCACACTTTCTCTCTGCATTCCAATTTTTTCTCCTTCTTTGTAACACACTTTCTCTCACTCTATCGTACTTTACCTCTGTATATTACAATCTTTCTCCTCTATCCCACACTTTCCCTCTCTATTCCAAACTTTCTCTTCTCTCCTCTATCACTCTTTCTATCAGAATCTTTCTCCTCTCTATTACAAACTTTTTCGTCTCTGTCACTCTTTCTATCAGAATGTTAACTTTCTCTATGCTGCAATCTT